CTGACCCAAACCGGCTAAGGTAGTACAATTTTTTTTTTAATGGAAAAGGAAAGCAAAAAGAAGATTCAAAAGCTCCCACTATGACTGTCTTTTTCTGTTGATTTTCCAGTACACTTTCCCTTGGCAAAGACATTTACTTGGGCAAAGGCAAAAATACACAATGTATCATGGACCACAGAAGTGACTTCATTCCAAGGTGAGGTCACAACTGCAGCTCTCCCACAGCTTACACCACAGTGTGGCTGACAGTGGTGCCTGCTTCTTGGACATTTCAAACCCAGTTCTTTCTTCATCCCTGGCCAAGTAATATAAATATTTAATTTGATTTGGAGCCTGAGCAAAAAAGCCTCCAATCACCCAAGGAACCATTCAGAACAGTCCAAATGCCCAATTTTAACAGATTCTTTCTTAAAACAGTAGTTCAATGTTAATAAATTACTGAGTAATTACCGAGGGGAAAGAAAAACAAGGAAGATAAAGCCCCTGTCCTCAACAATCTGGTTATGCCACGTTGCAGAATGACATAAGCAAGATATAAGGTCCTGGCAGTGTAGAGGACCTAAGGAGTCATGAGTTGCTATTGGTAGTTTCAGAAGTTGTTGCTTGATGAACTAGGACATGAATACAGACAGATAGGGAAGAAGAGTGGGCAGAAAAACAGAAGGCCAAGAGAATGAATCACATTTTTTGCAGCCTGATGAAAGGGGAGGAAGGTAGTGGGGGATGAAGTGGGAAAGAGAGGTCTGGGTCAGATTATGAGTGTCATTAGTGCTATGTGGAAAGTGGTTTTTATACAGCAGGTAGTTTTTTAAAGTAATGTCTATAAAAGTGACCACTCTGTTTTGGCCAGGAAGCATTTAAAAGGGAAGTTAGTTTCCACAAGTCACAGCAATAGTAGACTCAAACCGTCCTAAATACTCTTTTTTAAGGAAGGTGAAGGGCCCGGATAAGCAAAGACTGCTGAGAAATCTAGAGGAAAATGAGTAAAGGTGTAAATGCCCCTTCTACCCCCTGAATTCCCAAGTATCATAGAAACAAAATACAATGATATGTCCCAAACACAACCAAGTAAATGAGGCATATTAGCAAAGGAAGTAGTTTTGAAGAAAGCTCAACATTAGGAGTGATCATAAATTCCTTGATACCTTTGCTAGATCTTTTTGATGTCTTCTTGTTTCCTTCAGAGGTAATTTCAATTTCATCAGGATTACCCCCTTCATCTTCAATTGCCTAAAGGAAAGGTAAATGGGGAAAAAAATTTCACCATGAAAGTCAACAAAGACTTGACTTTCACAGAAGCTCGGGGCCAATGATTTGGAAGTGCATCACCTCCACCGTTTCCATTCTTTCTCTTGCTCTACACACTGAAGCAAGGGCTCTGGAGTTAGACTCTAACAGTTCTAAGCTGTGTGGTCTTAAGGAGATTTACTTAATCTGTTTTCTACTCCATAACATGGGGTTACATAAAAATACAGTACTTACCTTTAAAAGCTGTGTGAGAACTCCATCACCCATGTAAAGCAAGCACTGAACAAACATTCGCCTTATTTTTAACATTACCACCACATTCTGGGTTATCCCTATTCCTGGGCTCAATGGAACTAAAAAAAATGAAAAGGCACCCCCTCCACTTTCCTATGACTTCACCCAGCAATGTGCTATCTGACCTCAGGGACCCCTCTCCATGCCACGCCTGCACTCGACACTGTCTGTATAGAATACAATTCACTGGCTGAGTTCCTACTGTGTGTGGCACGGAACAAGACATGACATGTAGTACCTCATCTATGACTGACTCCAAAGGTCTTGCTCTCAGCCACTAAGAGACTCACCTCAAAGGATACAGAATTACAGAAGCTCTTGGCAAGCCCAGCCTCCCACCCCAGGAACTTGTCGTTCACTTCAACAGCTCCACCCACACTCAGCAAATCAGTACTGAACATGTCAATGATGACATCCCTGAAAACTGGGCATCCCTGAAATGTCAATGATGACATCCCTGAAATCAGGTTCAGGATTTACTAATAACCCTTTCTGTTTTTACTGTACTATCCAGTGAGCATAATTTTCTTATAAATCCAATTCAAATACTGCATTTTATTTGTATACCGTTTCAGATTCTCAGGAGTTTCCAGCTTGCTACCTGAATTTAGAATGGGACTTGGGGGGTCCTGCACCTACCTAATCTGTATCAGGAGCAAAGACAATCTCTCCCGTCTCTCTGAAGCCAGATCTAGAAAAAAATCAAAGTGCTGCCCTGGGATCAAGGAACAGACAACCAGAAAGCCCCTAACTCTCTTAGCTAGGGACAGACAATGCTGGACCACTAAGAGACTAGAAGAGCTGCTCTAGACAGGAGGTGTACACTTCACCCTCACTGTCTCATTGGGGTGCAGTGTTTACAGGGTCATCTCTACGGGGACTGAGGGCTCTGAGTCATCCTTATAGGCCTTGGCAAATTAACTTCGTTGTGTGTTCCCTCCATCTTTTCCTCTTTTGCCCTTCCAGGAAAAATAAACCAAGGAAGGGATACAAACTGGATGACAGAAGTAGAAGAGAAAGATCAGCAATAATTCCAGACTTGCTTGGGCATGTAGTAGATGAGTTCATAGGCTCACGGTATTTATGTAGTGCCTACGTGTCTGAGAAACCGAAAGGAGGGAAAAGGTGGGATGGATTTGTCCCCTCAAAGGTGACAGTGATGGAAGATTCCTGAAGTCATACCAGTCTCAGCCACCAGCCTGACAGGAGGGTTCAATCCCATCTTAGCTCTGCAGGCTTGCAGACTGGGAGGAAAAAAGTAAAAAAAAACACCCAACTCAATTTTATTGCCAGGAGGCTCTGGTGGCTAAGAACATGGACTACATCTTCCCAAGTGCCAACCCTCACACCCTCGTTGCATTTTCTCCAGGTAAACATCTTGGTTAATGAAGAACGGCCTGTCCTGAATAAAGGAATTTAGTGTTCACAGTGAATAAAAGTTAAGGAGGTTAGTATCCATAATGAAAGAATATAAGCTCTAGTTAGAAAGGCCCCAAATGGCTCTGGGCGTATCACCTCACCACTCTTGAGCCTGAGCTTCCTTATCTGGGAAAATAGGAAAAAATACCTACTTCCTCTCAATAGCAATCAAAATAAAACCCCAATCCTCAGTTGTTTGGGAGCCAGGGTGGAAGGCTGAGAGGGTCTCAAGACACGAGGAGGAGCCTGGCCGGGCGCCCAGTGGTTGACGTTAACCTATGAACCAGGTCACCGGTTCAATGCCGGGCGGGGCTGCCGGCTCCATCCCCGGTAGGGGGCGCGCAGGAGCAGCCATCAATGATTCCCTTTCATCATTGATGTTTCTACTTCTCTCTCCCTCCCTCTCTGAAATAAAAAAAAAAACAAGACCTAGGTGGGGAAAAGGTAAAAAAAAAAAAATGAAGCGAATAAGAAAAACGTAAGGGATGCAAACATTGACTTAACTCCGCATTTTTCGCACCTACCCTTCAGTACCCCGTAAGGTAGGGAATACAGCCCCCATTTTGGAAATGACACAGAGGAAAAATGACTTGTGACAACGATCAGATCCCCGGTGTTTACATGTGCCAGGCAACATGCCAAGGCCTTTCAGGCCACCTCACTTAGTCCCCGAAACAAAAGCACGATGTTTTCCCTCTTTTTACACAAGCAGCAGCAGGCTCAGTGAGGATCAAACGTCTTCCATGCGAAAGATCCAACCCCCGAGACCCGACAGAGCCCTAAGCCCAGGCGCACACCCTGCCTGCCTTTCGGGGTGAGCCATCTCGGTGTCCCCCGAGTCTGCCTTTTACATTTCTGGTCACTCTTGCAAACAACACTTTCCCTTCCGTGTCATACCCCCGAGCTAGGGATGGCAAACCCCAGATTGGTTTTTTTTCCCCTTTAAATGTCTTCTTGACATGCTCGCTTTATAAATTAACCTCCCATTCAAGGCTTGCTGGCCCTAAAGGGACAATCAACATCCATCTTTGTCGAAGACTCCCGCGGCCAGCGAGGGCACAGGGGCTCAGCCGGCCTGGGTTCCAATCCCGTCGCCTCCTCTCCCCGACCGTGTGACCTTGGCCGGGTCCCCCGACTCCCCCAGGAAGTGAGGATTTCAGGGCGCCCCGTCCACTTTGTGGGAAGCTGGGAAGAGACGGCAAGAGGAAAGCCCTCCGCGAAGTGGCTGCTGCGGAAAACAGGCCCTCGGTCGATGTCACCCGCCATCTAGAGCTGCGCGGCTACCGCGGCTTCCCCGTCGCGTCACATTTTCTCCTCCTCGCCCCATTGCGGCGCTAGGATTTGCACCTGGGCCTGGCTGGGCGCGCAGCCCCCGCCGGGGCCTAGGAGGAGCCGGGAGAAGCACGGAGCGCCAGGCCGCAAATGGGGCCGGAGGCGGGCCCTGGGACCAGAGGAAATCTGTTGCGGCTGCGGGAGTCCCACGACCCCACTCTTGTCCACCTCGAGGGCCCCGGCTCTACCTTTCTGAGCCTCTCCATCAGAACGCTCTTGTTGCCGCTCGAGTCCAGGTTCCGTTTCTTCAGCTCCGCCCGCAGATCGATCACCCGCAGGTCGCTGAGGCGCCGCGTCCCGGTCTCAGACGAGGCGGAGCTCAGAGCCGCAGCGCCCGCCGCACCCGAATCGCCTAGGCCTGAGAGAGTCTCCGCCATTCCAGGGACCCGGGCTCTGCCACCCACTTCACACAGAACCGGGCCGGGGTTCTCTCAGCTCCTAGCACAAAATGGCGCCGCCTGCCAGAGAACTGCTCCAGCGCCCCGGCTCGCCTCGCTTCTGCGCAGGCGCACCTGGCGCAGGCCCGGTACTCGGTAGCGTCTGCAAATGCGTGGTGAGCGCCTTGAGGGATGTGCGCAGGCGCGTTGCGTCTCTCCAGCCTCCGCGGCGAAAGGCCGGGACGCATGCGTGTTGTCTATACGGCGCCTGCGCATAGTGGCTGGGAACGCGCGGTTGGTCGGCGCACTAGCCCGTGGCTGCGAAGAACGCCTGCACAGCCGGAAAGCGGGGCGGGAGGAAGTGATTGCGTTTTCCTCTTAGGCGGCGCCATTTTGTGCTCAGAGCCGCTACAGCCGCTGTCGGTGTGGGGAGTAGGTGCCGGAGACGGGGAACTCGGGATGGCGGAGACCCTGGCAGGCTCTGGCGACTCGGGTTCTGGCACGGCCGCGGTTGGTCCGGGCGCCTCGGAGGCGGGGACGCGGCGGCTCAGCGAACTGCGGGTGATCGACCTGCGGGCGGAGCTGAAGAAGCGAAACCTGGACACGGGCGGCAACAAGAGCGTCCTGATGGAGCGACTCAAGAAGGTGAGGGGGCGCGGGGCACGGGGGTGGTGCAGGAGGTCGGAGTGCGTCCCCGAGTGGACCTGTCACCGCGACCTCTGGACCCGGGCGTCTGCGGCCCGCCCCCCTCTTGGCGGACCCCCCGGGCTGAGCTGTCCGGGACGAGGGGGCCTGGCTGTGTGACCTTGGCCCGTGATCGTCTCTCTCTGTGCCTTGTTTCCTACCAGGTCATCGCCTCAAGTGCGCTGGCAGCCTGCCTGCCTTAGACGCTAGGCTGGCCCCTGACTCCTCCCAGGCCCGAGTTTTAGGTTGGGCGCCGTGACCTTGTACAAGTGCCTGTATCTCTGAGCCTCAGTTTCCCTCCCTGGAGAACAGATGACTGAAGGACCTTTGAGATCTTGCAGGAAAGGGAGCCGTGCTTGTACCTGGCCCGGCGCCTTGGCACTTACCATACCCGACGCCAGACTGCTCTTCTCGCGGGTGGCCTGGCCGACCCCCTGTCCTTTGGATCTGTTTGAGATGTCACTTTCAGTAACGCACAGCTCCCCCGCCCCCACTTTCTCCTGTCATCCTCTGTTTATTCCCCTCAACACCACCCATAACACAAACTTGAGGATGGGGGATTGTCGTGTCTCCAACCAGAACAAGCTTCTTAAGGGGTGGGGGGACCTGTGAGTTTACTGTGAGCCCCAGCCTTGTGCCAGGCAGGAGGGAAGCACCGAGGTACCTTCCCCAACCCGATCTGTCTGTCCTCCCTCCCCGCACTCCCCCAGGCCAAAGATGGCTTGGTGGACCACCGCTCAGAGCCCATTGCCCATGGAGACCAAGTACAAGCCTCTTGTTATTATTTGTTATATTAACTTAAACTAGAAGGTTGGGCAGTTTCAAGGTTAGAGGCCAATTTGGAACTGGTCATTGACCCTGATTCTGAACACCCTTTCACACACCCCTTTTTTGGGGTGCCGGGAAGGGGTGGGGTCGTGTGGCATCCGTGCAGAGAGAACCAAGTTGTGCTGGGTTCTTCCTGTGTCTTGTGGGCTTGAAGCCCAGATAGCAGAACAGACTTGCTCTTTGCAAGGAAGAGTTAGAAGTTGTTATTTAAAAGCAACAATGTGTGCCCTGCAGCTCTTGACAATGTAAAATCCATCTCTTCCTGACAGGCAGTTAAAGAAGAAGGGCAGGATCCTGATGAAATTGGCATCACATTGGAAGCCACGAACAGGAAGACGGCAAAGAGATGTGTTAAAGGTATCTACCTGTAGTGCCTGCTGCTAGAGGTCCGAGTGTTTGAGAGCCCACTTGCTTAGAGACCTGGTTTTTTAGTACTGTTTCTGCCCTCCCGGCCAGGAGGAGAATGTCTTCAGCTGTCATTGTTCTCCATCTCCTAATTAGGCCTGCTCTTCACCAGCTAACAAGTGACTGTCAGGGTGCTGGAGGAGGACACCAAGTAAAATTAAAATACATGCTAAAAACATCTCAGTTCTTGCCATTGGTATTAAAAAAGAACTAGAGCTGAAACCGGTTTGGCTCAGTGGATAGAGTGTCGGCCTGCGGACTGAGAGGTCCCAGGTTCGATTCCGGTCAAGGGCATGTACCTGGGTTGCGGGCACATCCCCAGTAGGAGGTGTGCAGGAGGCAGCTGATTGATGATTCTCTCTCATCGATGTTTCTAACCCTCTATCTCTCTCCCTTACTCTCTGTAAAAAATCAATAAAATATATTTAAAAAAAAAAAAAAGAACTAGAGTAAGACACTCTAAAAGCTGTCCTGACTGGTTTGAGCACCTGCTTGGCTTCCTTCCAGGTTTTAAAAAATAGGACTTAAATCAACGAAAATGACAACAACCCAAGACCAAATAGAACTCAGCTTCTCTATGGTCCAAAATAGATTGTCAGAGTATTTGTATCCAGCCTATTTTTACTAGTGTGATTTTTAAAAAATTAAGATATAATTCAAATTCTATAGAATTCACCTGAAGTGTACAATACAGTGCTCATTCACAAGATTGTGCAGTCATCACCAGTGTCTAATTCTAGGTATTTTCATGACCTCCGTGCCCACTAGCAGTCACTCCCCATTTTCCCAGCCCTCAGCCCGTGGCACTAATTGACTTTGTCTCCTTAGATTTGCCTATTCTAGACATTTCATATAAATAGAATCATACAGCCTATGGCCTTTTCTGCCTGCCTTCTTTCACTGAGCATTATGTTTTCAAGGTATATTTACGGCATGCCCCAACATTAATTCCTTGATGGATAATACCTGTTACTTTTTGGAAGGACTTAATTTCAGAAAACTTTGAAATCTTACTGCCCTTATTGTAGGGAGGAATTACTTATTGGATTAAAGTGATCAAGAGGAGCCCTAACCGGTTTGGCTCAGTGGATAGAGCATCGGCCTGCGGACTCAAGGGTCCCAGGTTTGATTCTGGTCAAGGGCATGTACCTTGGTTGTGGGCACATACCCAGTGGGGAGTGTGTAGGAGGCAGCTGATCGATGTTTCTCTCTCATCGATGTTTCTAACTCTCTATCCCTCTCCCCTCCTCTCTGTAAAAATCAATAAAATATATTAAAAAAAAAAATTAAAGTGATCAAGAGGAATTAACCAAATGTCCTCATTATTAGGTTTTACAGTGATAAGGACAATATAATTCAGGTAGTAGAGGACAGTTTAGAAAGTCAAAAGAAATTAATTTGTAGCATTTTCAACAATTTCAGTTTACTTTTTAAGCAGATTTTCCTGGCAGGAAAACTTTTCTATAACGTATCTAACTTTTAAAACTTGTATGGTATAAGTGTTTTGAAAGGTTAAATTTTTTAGTTAGGTTTCATAAAGAGCTACATTATGTTTAATTTTAAAACATTGATTTTTTTTTTTTTGCTATTGTATTGATCCATACTTCACTATTAACACGGACTGACCAAATGAATACAGACTATGAGAGACTGGTCTATAGCAGGAAACCTACAATTACCTCTGTCTTTTTTTTTTTTTTTAATATATTTTCATTGATTTCAGAGAGGAAGGAAGGGAGAGAGAGATAGAAACATCAATGATGAGCAAGAATCATTAATTGGCTGCTACCTGCATGCCCCCTACTGGGGATCAAGCCCTAAACCCAGGCAAGTGGCGTGACCGTGACTGGGAATTGGACCATGACCTCTTGGTTCATAGGTCTCACTGAGTCATACCAGCCAGGCAACAACTATGGTTTGAAAGCCTGTTTTACGATAGCTATGAAACAACTTAAGTTAGTTTAAAAGTTTTTAATGTAGATGCTCATTTAAAACTGTTGAGATTTAAGGTTTATGAATCGAAATGTTCTTGTCTCCTAATGGGGATCTTTACATCATTAGACAAACTGAACCTTAGCTAGGTGTTTTAAAAACCTATCTGAATGTCTGGATTAAAGCTTATGTAAAATCAAAACTACATGGAATTAGCATTTTGCCTAGAAAGCTTTGGTAATAGTTCATTCGTATATAGAGAATGCTTATACCAACACTAGAGGCCCAGTGCATGAAATTCATGTATGGGTAGGGTCCCTAGGCATGGCTGGCGATCAGGGCTGATCAGGGCCTTCCTTCATTCTGTGCCGCCCCCTGGTGGTCCATGCACGTCATAGCGAGTGGTCGAACTCCCAAGGGGTAATTTGCATATTAGCCTTTTATTATATAGGGTAGCTCTAGCAATGGTCTCTTCCTTGTTTTCAGAACCAATGCCAAGAGAAGGAACAGGTAGGTGGTCTGAGTCCAGGGACAGAGGATAGCACCTATAGGTTGTTGGACTAGCATATCCTTTGGAGGTGTTTGGGTTCTTGGTTAGTGATTTGAAGTATTTCATCATCATGGTGTCCTAGTTGAAATTAGATCCTCAATATTACATAAAAGTGATCAGGAAGAATTAACCAATTGTTTTCCAGAGTCTGTGCAAGAGTGGGACTAATTCTGGGAAGTCAAGAGTGACTGTTGCCTTTTAAAAGTAAAGAGTAGCTAAAATTGTGGAAGATGTCTGGATGTGTTTTGAAAGATTAAATTTTGGAATTAGGTTTTATGTGAGAAACTAAAATTTGATTTTCTAATTTCTGTCCTGTTGTCCCCCCACAACCCCCGTTTCAGCTTTTAGTCAGGCCCTTGAGATTGGGGTGCAGCCTATCTGCTCAGTATTTGTCATTCCCACTCTTATTTAGGGCACTTTTTGGTGAAGCTTTAGGGTGTGCATTTTTCTTGTTTACATCCTGTTGTGTGTATTGCAGGCTACTATTTAGAGGCCTAGAAATTGGTTGCAACTGCCAAACATTTTTTAGACAGTGTATTTCAAAGGGTATGCTGGGCTTAGATATAATGGAAGTGGTACAGCTGAGTTTTTGAGTCCCAGCTTTGGAACTGAACCAAATTCTTATGTGTCAAATGCAGATAATAAACCTGCTAGCGTTGTGGGGAGTATTAAATAATAAGATGTGGAGAGTATGGTATCTGACATATAAAACTACATTTCTTGAGTGGTTACTGATGATAATAATAAATGAAATACTTAAGGTGTAAACATTTTAGTTTGAATCTTTAGTCAGTTTCTGTCCTGGCTAGGGCCTCAGTTGGTGGGAGCATCATCCCATACACCAGCGGTTCTCAATCTGGGGGTCGAACGATCCTTTCACAGGGGTCGCTTAAGACCATCGGAAAACATATATAATTACACTAGAGGCCTGTTGCACGAAAAGATTAGTGCAATAGGCTTTCCCTTCCCCTGGCTGCTGGCACCAGTTTTCCCCCTGTACCCAGGACCCAGGCCTGCGCTCTGGGCGGAGCCATCTTCAAGCCTTCGCTGCCCACTCGGCCGCCCCGGGCCGGGTCGCACACGGGGCACCTGGGCAGGCCGGCATATTGCTGCTGCCCTGCCCGGCCGCCCCAGGTCGGGTCGCACAGCGGCCAGGCAGGCCAGCCGATCGCTGCTGCACCGCCCGGCTGCCCCGTGTCAGGTCGCACACAGGATGCCCGCTGCCCCAGGTCGCAGATAGCAGGCCCGGATGGCGGCAGGGCGGGCGGGATGGTGCTGTCCCACCCTGCCTGCAGTATGCAAATTAGCCGCCATCTTTGTTGGTTAATTTGCATATTGTGCTGATTAGCCAATGGGAGGCGTAGCGAAGGTATGGTCAATTGCCATGTTTGTCTATTATTAGATAGGATATTGTTTTTGTGATTAAATCACCATGCTTTAATTATGTGCAATTTGTAACAATGAAAATACATCCTGCATATCAGATATTTACATACGATTCATAACAGTAGCAAAATTACAGTTATGAAGTAGCAACGAAAATAATTTTATGGTTGGGTCACAACATGAGGAACTGTATTAAAGGGTCATGGCATTAGGAAGGTTGAGAACCACTGCCATACACCATAAGGTTGGGGGTTTGATTCCCAGTCAGGGCAAATACCTAGGTTGCAAGTTTGATCCCCCGTTAGGTGCCTACGGTTGGCAACAGATCAATGTTTTTCTCCCTCCCTCCCTTCTTCTCTCCCCCTTCCTCTCTCTCGAAAATTAATAAAAACGTATCTTCAGGTGAGGATTAAAAAAAAGACTGAGGTTTCTTATGTTTAATTTTTTTATTTAAAAATTATGAAAATAATATTTTTCAATAATTTGGAAGATGTAAAAAGTATGTATATAAAAATAAAATGATCTCTAATTATACCACTCCATATTTTAACCATTGTTGTTGGTTGCTTCAGTCATCTCCATCTGTATGCATCTTCATGCTTGCATGTATACAAACATACATGTGCTTTTTAAAAGGCGATCTACATGGTTTTGTTTCTTTTTTTACTTTTTTAATTTTATTGATTTACTTTAGAGAGAGAGACATTGATTTTTGTTCCATTATTCATGCATTCATTGTTTGATTGTTGTAAGTGCCCTGACCAGGGGTCAAACCCACAACCTTGGCATATTGGGATGATGCTCTAACCCAGTGGTCAGCAAACTGCGGCTTGCGAGCTACATGCGGCTCGTTGGCCCCTTGAGTGTGGCTCTTCCACAAAATACCACCTGCGGGCTCACATGTACAGTGCGATTGAAACTTCGTGGCCAGTGTGCAGAAGTTGGTATTTTGTGGAAGAGCCACACTCAAGGGGCCAAAGAGCCGCCGCATGTGGCTCGCGAGCTGCAGTTTGCTGACCACTGCTCTAACCAACTGAGCTACCCGGCCAGGGCCTTTTTTTTTTACCTTTATGGGAATTTTACCATATTAAATATTCTTGAGAGCTTATTTAAGTTATAAAACATTGTATGATGTACCATAGGGTTTCACAACCTTAGCACTGTTAACTATTTAGAGTAAATAATTCTTTTTTAGGACGCTGTCCTTGCAATGTGGTATGGTGAGCAGCATCCCTGGTCACTCACTTCCACTAAATAGATGCCAGTAGCATACACACTTCAGGTCTGATGCCCTCCAAAATGTCTCCAGATAGTGCCAGGTTACACCCCACTCTCCCCATCAACTTGCATGCTGGTATCTACGTATGAACAAAATGTGCTATAATTTCTTTCCCTTTCAGGTGTTTAGGCTATGTACACTTTCTAGAAAGAATAAATATGTTTTGAATCCCTTATCAGACATTCTAGTGCATGTCCTAAGGGGAGTATGTACATTTTTCAGGCCTCACCTTTCCCTCTAACCCAGCGGTTCTCAGCCTGTGGGTCGCGACCCCTTTGGGGGTCGAACGACCCTTTCACAGGAGTCGCCTAAGACCATCGGAAAACACATATATAATTACATATTGTTTTTGTGATTAATCACTATGCTTTAATTATGTTCAATTTGTAACAATGAAATTGGGGGTCACCACAACATGGGGAACTGTATTAAAGGGTTGCGGCATTAGGAAGGTTGAGAACCACGGCCTAACCTCTTGGGAATACCTAGCATTAACTGTAAATAGTTCTTTTGTATTCATAAGACTCAGATTTTATGGTAGCCTTTGCCCCCCAGATAAAAGTTCCAGAGCTGAAGACTGATGAAAGGCAGGCAGCCTGCTTGAAATGGTGGAATGTAGGGAAAGCCAGCAAGTTTATAATCCAGAATGTTATTTGAAGTTGCATTTCTTTAATTACTAGATGGATATTACATTTTTAAAATTATATTTGTTGTAAAATGCCTGTTATCCTTTGCTCTTCTTTTGGGATGTTTGTTTTACTTTGGAGTGGTTTTGAAATTTTTTGAAGCGCTTAGGTATTTTGTTAAAAATCAAATGCTTTTGTTTGATAGTATTACAGAAATCCTAGATATTCATATCCTGATGGAGACAAAATTGCACACATTAAAACAGGCACTTCGCCTGACTGGCTCTGTGGTTGAGTGTCTACCTATGAACCAGGAGGTCATGGTTCAATTCCCGGTCAGAACACATGCCTGGATTGTGGGCTCTACCTCCAGTGTGGGTTGTGCAGGAGGCAGCCGATCAGTGATTCTCTCTCATCATTTTTGTTTCTTTCTATCTCTTCCTCTCCCCTCCTCTCTGAAATCAATAAAAAAAATTTTTTTTAATTAGTAAAATACTTTAAAAAAACCCAGAAAACAAAACAGGCACGTCTTCTAGTTTCCTTGTAACATGTTCTGAGATTGAAATCTATCATTCTGCTATACTAATTATAGGGCTAGACCTGAGTGTTATCTGATTGAACAATTGTTCTGTAATTAGGACAGAAGATAGAGGAAGAAGGCACAGAAGATAATGGCCTAGAAGAGGATTCCCGAGACGGGCAGGTATGTGGCATGACAGTGGAGACAGCAGCAGGAGCGCCGAGTTCTGGTCTACCTGGTCATTGATACCTCTCATTCCTCTTTATAGGAGGATGTGGAAGCAAGTTTGGAGAGCTTGCAGAATATTGACATGATGGATGTTAGTGTGTTAGAAGAAGCTGAAGTCGAGAACAGCAGTGCCCCAGACTTTGGGGATGATGGCACAGACAGCATCCTCGATTCCCTTTGTGATAGCAAAGAGTATGTGGCTGCACAGCTGAGTGAGCTTCCAGCTCAGCTCACAGAACATGCTGTAGGTAACACTAAGACACGTGGAATGTGGCAGGAGGCCCAAGGCTCCCAGTGCTTATGTGCTGTTTATTTGAGCAAGATCATGCTAAGGGTTGGTTGATTAAATAGCAAGCAGCGAAATCAGTCACCATAAACATTTAATTTAGGAACTGAACCTTGGTGGTAAATTCTGTCCATTTAAACTCAACATAGGTCAGATATTAATTAATGAATAACTTCTCCGTTAATGTTTCTGTAGTATTGGAGACTATTTCTAATTGGGTGAGAAACACTTTCTAAGCATAAGCCATAAAAGGTTGCACAGTTAATAAAAGTATTTTCCTTTTAAAATAGGTAAAAAACTAGAAAGATAAAACAAAAACAGTGTAAAACTTCATCATCCAGATAATCTTATAGATGTTTTAGAAAGTTTACTCTATGCATAAGAATAGACATAGTCATCCCCTGGCCAGTTTTGTTCAGTGGTTGGAGCATCAGCCCACTGACTGAAGAGTCCTGGGTTCATTTCCAATTGGGGGCATGAATCTTGGTTGCAGGCTCAATCCCTGGCTCCAGTAGGGGTGCATGAGGGAGGCAGGCAACCGTTATGTCTCTCTCACATCGAGGTTTCTCTCTCTCTCTCTCTCTCTCTTTCTCTCTCTCCCCCTCCCCTAGCCCCTCCTTTCCACTCTCTAAAAATCAGTGGGAAAATATCCTTAGGTGAGGATTAACAACAAAAAATAATAATAGCCCTAGCTGGTTTGGCTCAGTGGATAGAGCATCAACCCTGGGACTGAAGGGTCCCGGGTCCAATTCCAGTTAAGGGTACGTACCTCGATTGCAGGCTCAATCCCTGGCCCTGGTCGGGGTGCGAGCAGGAGGAAAACAATCATTGTGTGTCTCTCCTCCTCATACTTCCCACTCTCTAAAAATCAATTGCAAAATATTCTCAGGATTAACAACAACAACAAAAAGAATAGTTGGTCACCCTCACTGGTTTGGCTCAGTGGATAGAGCATCAGCCTGCAGACTGAAGGGTCCCAGGTTCGATTCCAGCCAAGGGCACATGCCTGGGTTGCGGGCTTTATCCCCAGTGGGGGATATGCAGGAGGCAGCCAGTCAATGATTCTCTCTCATCATTGATGTTCCTATCTCTCTTTGCCTTTCTGTTCCTCTCTAAAATCAATAAAGATATATTAAAAAAAAAAAAGAGTAGTTGGTCATATTAAAAGAGATGAAATACAGTGAAAAAAATATTTGTCATCCCAGTAAAACCCCTTCCATTAAAGGGAATCACTATTAATGTCCTGGTGTGTAGGGTAGGGCTTTAATTCTGTTACCAGTGTCCCCTTCCCAAGTTCTCCCAATATTTTGGCATAGAGCTCTTTGTGGTGGCCATCCTAGAAATAATGGTCATTTGAATCTTACCATCTTGGCATGCCCAGCCATTCTAGTTTGGTTGTGTTGTTTACTTAAGGCATTACAGCTTTAAACTAAAACAACTGCCCTCGAAGGACTAAACTTTAAACCTTCAAGGACAAAAGCCACAAACTCCGAACATCACTCCTCAACCTAGGATAATATTAAGCAAGTGATTTTCCCTCTAGGCGTGATCCTGTTGTATCATGTTAATTATTTTCAGAGCATGTCCTTGGTTTCTAACTTCTTGGTTAATGAAGTGTCCAGGTTATAAGGTTCAAACCTATAAAATGATAAAAGAAATATTTGGAAAGGGATATTTTTGTATTTCACTTAGAAAGGTAAAAGACCTTCAAATTTAGTAATCTTTAAGATAAGTGGAATTTGTTTTTTTTATTTTATTTTGTTTTTTGATATAGTAAATAGTCAAGTTAAGTGTTTGTTAAATACAGCACTCTAGAAGAAAGTTCCCTGTTACTGTTATTTTAAAAGTGTTGCTACCAAGTGAAATTGGAGGAGTACCTGGTTTTGAGTTCTGCTTTGGGAATTCTATGGATGAGTGGTGTATTAGACCATCAGTATGTGGAAACTGCCTGGGAGTGAATTCATTCATTCATTTGGGCAATGCTGACAGAATACCTACTGTTTGCAAGCCTCTGTCAGTGATGTTGCTGTTATCCAGTGCTAGAGCAGGTGTGGGGACAGGGAGGCAAGTAATAAACTGAATAATCTAACCATTAACTTGTGGATGGCAGTAGATATCTGAAGGAAATAGATACATGGGTTGCCTGGAACATAGTGAGGCCTAGACCTAGGCATTCACAGCTCTGAGCCCACAAAGTGACCTTCCATTATCTTCCAGGTAGACGGGGAAGGCTTGGAGAGCACTTTGGATGCTTCATCGTTGGACTTCAAAGTACCTTCGGTAAATGAACATCTGTTTCTGCATGATTGGAAACTCTATATGAGTGGTTAGTTTTCCGTATTTGGAAACGATGTGTAGGTGTATGTGCAAAAGATTCATTGAGGGTTGATATTGAGCTGGGTGCTAAGGATAAGAGATTGAGAGCCAAACCGATCAGTTTCAGGATTTGCAGTCTAGTGGGGGCAGGGTTAATAACCAGCAAAGAATGTAATGGAGGAGAAGTTTAAGTAGTTGGCCAGCCTAGAGGGCTTCCTGGAGGAAGGCCTGTTTGAATTAAGGTCTGGCATTGGTCAGGAGTTAGCCCAGTAAGAAAGAACAGAAGACTTTGGGAACATGGCTTATTGTAGGAATGGCGTGCACAGGGTAAGGGCAGAGAGGCAGTGGGGCTGCAGAAGCAGGTGGGTCTGACTGCCAGAGTGGGGAAAGGATTTGGCTGGTGTTCTTGTTTTCAGTGGGAAGTCAGGGAAAGGTTTTAACAGGTTCCAGTTATAAATAATAGTTTATGTTGGGAGAAACACATTTTTTTCTCAAGTCTGGTTTCATGTATAAAGCAGTGGCCATCTGTGTAACTTCTGCCTTGACTGTGGGAGTCTGCCAGCTGCAGAGGTATTAGATCAGCTTAAAACTTGGTTTGGGCCGAAACCGGCTTGGCTCAGTGGATAGAGCGTCGGCCTGCGGACTGGGGGGTCCCGGGTTCGATTCCAGTCAAGGGCACGTACCTGGGTTGCGGGCACATCCCCAGTGGGGGATGTGCAGGAGGCAGCTGATCGATGTTTCTCTCTCATCGATGTTTCTGACTCTCTATCTCTCTCCCTTCCTCTCTGTAAAAAATCAATAAAATATATATTTAAAAAAAAAAACAACTTGGTTTGGGATGGTCAGACTCTGAGTGGAGAATTGAACAGGCTCAATGTTACCACTGCCTTTCTGCTTTTGCTGGGGAGAAAATGGCAAAGTGATTGTATAATGGAATGCATTGTTTTGAGTGGATCTGCCCAATTTTTAAGTGTCTTGTGGCTTTTCTTTCTTATTATTTATTTATTTTTATTTATTGTCTAAAGTTTTACTTGTGTCTCCTTTTTCTCTGCTTGACCCCCTGCCCCCAGCCATTCTCACCCCGGGCAAGCCCCCACCGCCCCAGTGTCTGTGTCCATTGGTTATGCTAATATGCATGCATACAAGTCCTTTGGTTGCTCTCTAAACCCCCTCCCCCTTGCCATTTGTCTCTGGATCTATTCTTGTTCATCAGATTATGTTGATCATTATTTTCTCTTTTCTTTTTTAATTAGGATATTGAAGAACCACTCTTGGAGCCAGGTACTGATAAGAAAAACACAACAGTTATGGTTTGAAAGTTTTTCTCACTACATTTTTTTCAAGCTGTCTATATATTTTATGCTGTATTATGGTGTTGTAAGTGATTTTAATGGTGGACAATCCAGATCGTACAAGGATCAGAGATTGGAAACCCATTCATATCACCAGATCTGTGGAACTGCTGTTCTGGTTTCTAGAGGTCAGATGTATGTGGTGAGATGTAATGATTTCATCTCTCTAACCACATAGAGTGGCATTTACATAATTTCTCCTTGTGATTCTTCCATGTGTTTCTACACATGAAACAGATCTTGTGATATTTCTCTGCAGTCAATTTGACTAATACAGTTAAGGCAGGCTAAAGCAATTGTCAGGGAACTTATAACCTGAGAAGTGACTGGATTCCAGAAGAGGAAACAGAGTTTCTTCATGAAAATTTCCAGCATATTATTTCCCTTATGGACTGCGGTTATCTCTCGCCATCTGAAGAGTTTCTGGTGTTCCTATTGGACTGTTCTGTTAAAAGAAATTCAAAGAAATTTGGAAATTGAGCTGTCATTGAATGATGACTGCATTCGGTTCAGCACCTTGGACACTGGAAAAATAAGTCAGAAGACCCAGACTTGAACAAAACATGAAGAAGACTGTTGAGAAGCAGCCAAGTGGTTGTAGGTGTTTAAATCGGTGGGGGCCTGTTTCATGTAGCGTAGCGGCTTACTCTAGCAGTCGGTTGGAGTGCAGGTAGTGTAACCAGTGTAACATGTGTACCCGCGGGTTTTCCAATCTCTGTGTAGCTAGCAGTTCTCTTCGTGTTAGTGTGGCAGCCGTGCCAGTTCCACATTTGTGATTGCTTTATTTCCCTGGTAATTAAACCTTGTGCCATTCTATTCCTGTTAAATCCGTAGAAAATGAGAAAATACTCGACATTTTGGGGGAAACTTGTAAATCTGAGCCAGTAAAAGAAGAAGGTTCCGAGCTGGAGCAGCCATTTGCACAGGATACAAGTAGCGTGGGGCCAGACAGAAAGCTTGCGGAGGAAGAGGACCTTTTTGGCAGCGGCCACCCGGAGGAGGGTGATTTAGATTTGGCCAGCGAGTCAACAGCACAAGCTCAGTGGAGCGAGGCAGACACCCTGTTAGCGGTAGTGAAAAGGGAGCCCGTGGAGCAGACAGGCGGTGACGAGAGGATGGACTGTGAGCCTGTAGGGCTAGAGGAGCCAGTTGAGCAGAGTAGTAAAGCCTCAGAGCGCGCAGAAGCCTCTAGCGAGGAGGTCGCAGAAGCGCCCCAGGAAGCCTCAAGCCCAGACCCCAGAGATAGCAAAGAAGACGTGAAGAAGTTTGCTTTTGAAGCTTGTAATGAAGTCCCTCCGGCTCCTAAAGAGTCCTCAGCCAGTGAGGGCGCTGATCAGAAAATGAGGTTTGTTTTTTCTCAGTTTTAGACCAGACGCTATCTCCTTTTCATTGGTCGTTTAATGACACACATAAGCTGTTTTTTCTACAATTGGCCAGCCAGACTGATGAAATTGTAGTTTACCACTAAAGAGTGTTTTATTTCTCTTTGTGTATTTTTAGTGGCTGATTGGATTCCTTTCTTTTTCTCAACCGACTATGGTTGTGTTCTTAAATTGCTAAGTGTTCTCTTCAGTTAAATCGAATTGACTTAAGAATCTGATATTGTATTTTGGGGGGCCAGATATCCAATATAAGCTTGCAAAGATGTCTTGTTAAAATTTTATTTCAGACTAATTTTCTGGTAGGTATCAGTTTTAGCACACATTATATTTTTAATTTAGTTCTCTTTTGTTTTTTTCCTGCATGATTAATATTAACTTTTGTCTCTAGTTCTTTTAAGGAAGAAAAAGATATAAAGCCAGTCATTAAAGATGAAAAAGGTATGCTTTAACTTACATGGTGGGGAACCACCTATGGATCCCTTGGCTTAGAAGGGAGGGGCCTGGAAATTGCCACATTCTGGAATTTACAGTGAATCCTATTACAACTCTATTCTCCATTGAATAATATAACAAGAGTTATAGAAACTGCTATCTTGGATGAGATTTGATCATTGAAAAACATTTCAGTTTGTAATAACTTGGACATGATTACTCCTCAAGTAAGAAAACTCTGTTTTTCCCATCCAGATTTTCATCTCTGTCGTAGGTGTTGGCAATAATTAAATTCTTGAATTAAAGGTGGAAATTGAAAAGAAAAAAGAAGTGTTGGAATTGGATGTGGTTAGGGTTTAAGAGAGAGCCACATTTCAGGAGTGGTCATACTTTCTATTATTCCTGATGGCAAAGCATAGTCTTCTCTCTCCTGCTCCAGGTCGTATCAGCAGCAGTTCTGGTAGGAATTTGTGGGTCAGTGGACTGTCCTCCACAACTCGAGCAACAGATCTGAAGAACCTTTTCAGCAAGTATGGAAAGGTATGCTCTCCATTATGTCTGTCTTGCTACCCAGCCTCAATTTAGCATTAAAAAATATACTCAAGCCCCTCTGGCATGGGTCAGTGGTTGAGTGTCAACCTGTGAACCAGGAGGTCACAGTTCAATCCTGGTCAGGGCACATGCCTAGGTTGCGTGCTCAATCCCCAGTAGGGGGTGTGCAGGAGGCAGCCAATCAGTGATTCTCTCTCATAATTGATGTTTCTATCTCTCCCTTCCTCTCTGAAATCAATCCTATAAAAAAAGGCTAATATGCAAATCGACGGAACAGTGAAATGACTGGTTGCTATGATGCACACTGACCACCAGGGGCAGCCACTCAATGCAGGAGCTGCCCCCCTGGTGGTCAGTGCGCTCCCACAGAGGGGGCGCTACTCAGCCAGAAGCCTGGCTCATGGCTGGTGAGCACAGCAGCAGTGGTGGGAGCCTCTTCAGCCTCCACGGCAGCACGACTGCTGATATCCCCTGAGGGCTCCAGATCTGTGAGAGCACAGGCCAGGCTAAGGGGACCCCACCCCCCACCGAGTGCATGAATTTCGTGCACCAAGCCTATAGTAAAAAATATATACTCAAGAGTTTAGAACCCTACTTCATGCTAATTTTATTGTGGGTCATTTCTAATTTAAGAAAAGGCTGGAGGAGGAAATCCTTAAGGGGGAAAAACTCACCTGGTTTCAGATTTGAGGATTTTTTTTTCTATTTGAGAGTGGTTAACAGGCAAAACAGATAATCATGATGTAGAACACTATGCCGAAAAACTGTGTAAATAGCTACAATCTTCAAGAAGCTGCTATATCTTTTGGCTTATACAAAATTTAAAGCTGGCATGCTGAGGGTTTTTTCCTTAACAGTAAGTTAAGTGTTGGCTTTTATATCTTATAGCATCTTAAGTATATACTTTAAAAACTAGAACGTGATAGTGGTTTACAAATAAATCACCTAATATGCTGCTAATTGGGAGCAGGTGGAAAATAATACAGTTCTAAAACTTTCCAAGGAGCTTAAAGGACTTTTAAAATAAAAATGATTCTGTTGCTTTGGAATTAGGTGACGAAGCAATCTTTTTATAAGCCATAGAGACTGCCCTGGTCTCCGGGATGCCTGTGGGAAATGGCCGTCTAAGGGGGGAGGTAGGGGACAATGCCTAGAGGAGTTGAGAACTTGCAGGGATTCTAGGCAGTTTGAGGCTGACTCATCCTGGCTGCTCAGTCATATCTTTTACTCAGATCCATGTCACCCAATTAGGTATTGGTGAATACATTAGTGACTTGGGCAGTATGGGTCCAGAAGAAGCATTCAGAAGGGCTTAGAAAACTATTAAGCTGTAACCTACTCATTTATTTTGACCTCTTTCTGAACTCAGGTACTGATTATAAAGCCTAAGCAAACAGATATAAGATCCCTGTCATTATAGATCTTACAGGCTGGTAGAAAAATCATTTACAGAATAAACATATACAACACATTCAATAAGTATGTTAAGGAAAATTACAGCGTGTCAATCATATGGTAAAGAGACCTAATTTAGATTTGGGGGTGTGGGTTCAGCAGAGCTTGCTGAGGAAGCCATACTTAGGGAAGACCTGAGTGATTGGAGTTGAGCAAGCCTGTGGCTCTGGGTAAAGGAAGGCCCAGTAGTGGGACAAGGCTTTGCAATGTGGATGAACTCATCAAAGGCTGCTGTGCAAAGCTCCAGGGCAGAGTGCAAGGGGGAGGAGGAGTGGGGAGACAGGGATATGTGAGCTTCTCATGGTATCTGCCCTTATTTGGGTTTAACTGGCATTGGAAATGATGCCCTTGCAAGGATTATTAGTTTAATGGAAAGGTCAAATAACCCCATAATTGGCTCAGCCCCTTGACCTTCAGGAGAAGTAAGAATGCAAAGCTTCTCTGCCCAGAGAACTGACACTGTGTCTTCAGCAGAGGCTTCTTTCACCTTTGTCCCTGTATGGCGTGCTCTGGGCTTCTGCAGGCAGCGCAGCACTTTTCCATCGGGGTAGCAGAACTACAAACATGAGGGTCTACAGGGAACCTAGAGAGCATGGACCACTCTCCCCACCCCCTTGTCACAGTTGGGAACACATACAAAAAGAAGAGATGGCTTATTCAAGTTGACCCACTTAATCAGAGGTGGTCAGAGCCAGAACCCAGGGCTCCTATGTCTCAGGGGGTCTTTGCACTTTCAAAGGGGTTGGCCTTACCCTCACTTCAGATGTCCTGTGGGAACATTTGTGCAGTGGGCTTTAAATCTGATTTGGTTCTGTGTTTTCTTTCTCTTGTTCTTGAATCATTTATTCCTTATTTATTTGCCACCTTTTGCATTGGTTATTTTTTATGATTTGTGGCTTATTACCTATGACTCTATATATAACTAGTTGGCCCAGCTGGAGTGGCTCAGTGGTTGAGCATTGACCCATGCACCAGGAGGTCACTGGTTCCATTCCTGGTCAGGGCATGTTGTCCACCCCCCACCCCCTACCCCGTTGCAGGCTGGATCCCTAGTATGGAGCATGCAGGAGGCGATCAGTCGATGTTTCTCTGTCATCGATGTTTCTACCTCTCTGTCCCTCTTCCTTCCTCTCTCTGAAAGCAATAAAAAAACACACATAATTTGTTGATATTATACCAGTACCGTACAACTGCCATTGCCCCCTCTCAGCCTTTGTGATGTTGTCATTATACATTTTACTTCTATTTAGTAAACTACACAGTATATTATTGGCTTGTTTTTTGGGTTTTTAATTTCTCATGTGTTCACAATTTTGAGTGTTCTTTATTTCTTTTTGTTTTTATCCAAGTTCCCACTAGTTAATTATTCTCCTCCCTCCTTGAACATTTCTTTAGGGCAGGGTTGCCAATGAGGAATTTGTATGTCTGCAAGTCATTCTTTTTTTAAAATATGTGTTTATTGACTTTTTTAGAGAGAGAGGAAAGGAGAGAGAAACATTGCTGAGAGAGAAATATCAATCAGCTGCCTCCTGCACTCTCCCCACTAGGTAACTAGTCTGCAACCTAGGCCCAGGGAATCAAACTGGGGACCTCTTGGTGCATGGGACAATGCTAACCAACTGAGCCACACCAGCCAGGGCTGCAAGTCATTCTTTTACCTTTTTTTGCAAGCTGGTTTCATTGGTGTGGAATTCCAGATTGGTTGATTTTCTTCCAGAAGGCAAAGCTGCTCCACTGCCTTCTGGCTCACATTGTTTCCAACCAGTTGGCTGTGCTTCTCACCTTCATTCTTAACACACATATGACTTTTCTTCCTCCGGCTGCCTTTAAGATTTTATCTTTCTCACTGGTTTGGAGCACTTTGCTGATGATGTGTTGATTTTGTTTGCTGGTTTTTTCCCCGAGCTCCTTGCCTTCGAGGACTCCTCACATTGCCCTACCAGTCAATATTGCTCCGGTTTCTTTCATATCAGTCTTTATTTTTTCCATTTCATTTTGAGTAGCTTCTCTTACTATGTATTCAAGTTGCCTAATCTTTTCTTCTGCGGTGTCTGTTGTTAATCCCATCTAATGTATTTTTTCATCTCAGAAGTTCATTTTGAGTGGTTTTAAATTAGCGTCGATTACCTGACATGCACAGTTCTTCCTTTGTCTTTTTGAATAACTAAACCAAGTGCTTAGTATCCTTGGTCCACTAATTCTGTCATTTTGTCATTTCCGAGTCTGATTTTATTGGTCCATTTGTTTTCTTCATTAGAGTTGGACTTTCTTACTTCTTGGCTAACCCAGTCATTTTTTTCTTTTCTGGGCTAAACTATTTTAATAATTTGATGAACTACAGCTTATCACATCACAAAAAGTATTTAATGAAAAACAGTTATCCCCTGTTTTCACATTCCTTGTCTCATGAGAATTTAGAAGAAGATTTTGCACTTTGTATCTTTAAGGCACTGTATTTTTAAGAGTTCACACTAGAAACTGACAAGTCTTCTTCCAATTAAGGAGCTGCACACTTGGGGTGTTTGGTCAGCTTGTGGTATTTCTGAGTGAGGTCAACAGACTTCTGTCCTTGTTGAAAGGGGAAAGACCACAAAATTACATTCCATTGATTTCCCATTTTAACTCCACTGAAAAGGTAATTCACTTCCTCAGTAAAGTTTTTACGAATTTTTCAATCTTACAGATACAGTCTTTCCAAATGGGGTTCATAAGTATTCCTCCAGAGGTAGTGTTCATGCTGAGCTGATGTCTTCGACATGGGGTCAGCAGAATTTCAGTCTCGATGTGCTTTCTCCTTTACTTCTCTAGTTGTAGAACTTCCATTCAGCCATCTTTCAGGTGGTTCTGAATGATGGTTGTTCTGTAGTTTAGTTGTAATTTTGATTTGGTTGTGGGAGGCAGCGAGTACCAGTATTAACCTACACGCCATCTTGGTTCTCTTTCTAACCCAGTCGTTTTTTTGTTAATATATTTTTATTGATTTCAGAGAGGAAGGGAAGAGGGAGAGAGAGATAGAAACATCAATGATGAGTCCTGACCAGTTTGGCTCAGTGGCTAGGGCGTCGGCCTGTGGACTGAAGAGTCCCAGGTTCGATTCTGGTCAAGGGCATGTACCTTGGTTGCGGGCACATCCCCAGTTGGGGGTGTGCAGGAGGCAGCTGATCGATGTTTCTCTCTCATGGATGTTTCTAACTATCTCTCTCCCTTCCTCTCTGTAAAAAATCAATAAAATATATTTTAAAAAAGAAAAGAAACATCAGTGATGAGAGAGAGAATCATTGATTGGCTGCCTCCTGCCTGCCCCCTACTGGACATTGAGCCTACAACCTGGGCATGTACCCTTGACCAGAATCGAATCCAGGATCCTTCAGTCTGCAGGCCAGTGCTCTATCCACTGAGCCAAACCAGCTAAGAGTAACCCAATCATTTTTTATTGGATACCAGACTTTTTTGTGTGACTTTTACCTTGTGAGCTAGTTATTCTTATATCCCTGCAAATGTCCTTGAGCTTTTGCTGGGGCACAGTTCAGTCACTTGCTCAATCAGTGCAGAGGCTTGCTGTTAACCTTTTTAATCAGGCCAGAGCTCAGGGCTAGCTTCATCCACTCCTCGGCAACATCCTTCTGAGTGCTCAGCCCAATGCCCATCAATTACAGGCTTTTCTATCCAGCCATTGGGTTCATTCTGGGAGAAGTGGGCCTTTTGCAGCACTGAGTGAGCCCCGGGGATTGTTCCCTCTGCTTCTGCAGGTGGTCATCTCCTAGCATTGGTGGTTTTCTCACACACACACGCTACTCAGGACCCTAAACAGTTCTCCAAATGTCTCTCTGTGTGGTACTATGACTGGTTACTGCTTTAGTCTCCTCAGAGTCTGACCTGTGCTCATCTCAGGGATATCAGCCCCCTCAGTTCCTCCTCTCTGCCCATGGCCTGGAATCTCTAGGCCAGCAGTTCTCAATCGTGGGTCGCGACCCCTTTGGGGGTCGAATGACCCTTTTACGTGGTTGCCTAAGACCATCGGAAAATACATATATAATTACATATTGTTTTTGTGGTTAATCACTATACTTTAATTATGTTCAATTTGTAACAATGAAATTGGGGGTCACCACAACATGAGGAACTGTATTAAAGGGTTGCGGCATTAGGAAGGTTGAGAACCACTGCTCTGGACAGTAAGAATGGGCAACCATAAGGCCCTCATGTGTTTCCACTCTAGCTGTTGTCACCATCCTGTGTAGCCTGGTGCTTGGTGTCTGAAAACCCTTGTTGCTTACACTTCCTCCCATTTTTTAGTAGTTTCAGGTAGCAGGAGAGTTAATGGTTGGTTCTCCAGGCTGGCTGGAAGTGGAAGTTTGCTCTGTATCTGTGTCAGAGGTCTTCTTAGCCTTGGTCCACATAGATTGGGGTGCATTTCTGAGTAGATATCGCCTCTGCTGTCCATGGATAGAATGGAATTAGAGAAAATGATCTGAGTGGGAAGGGCTTTTGATTAATTAACAAGTTGTCATTAGTGAAGTTTAACTGTCTTAGCGCTCCCTGTTTTTTTGTCACTGTAGAGCTGATCTTGTATCAAAAGCAGTTGTATTTTGATAGGTCAGTTATTTTTAATAACTAGGAAGAACTGACAAATCCTGGAGAAGTAAAAGCTATTTTTTTTTTCAGGTTACTTATGCTTATTTGTTTAGCTGTGGTCATGGGGATTATCCCAATTTTCCATAAAATCCTCTTGACCCTGCTGCAATATCATGGCATAAAAGACTCAAAGTGCCACGAGACAGAAGGACAAAGGGTTTTGTTTTCTTATTATTAACCATGATTTTGGATAATGTTTGGGAACATTTTATATAGATGGCCAGATGAAAGATACCAAAATGTCTAATGGAAATAATTTTGATGATCAGTTAACTGCTAATAACTTTTTACATTGTGTGATTATTTGTATGAGAAAATAAGAGTGCCCTTTCCCATAAAGGTTGTTGGCGCCAAAGTGGTGACCAATGCCCGCAGTCCTGGGGCTCGTTGCTATGGCTTTGTCACCATGTCGACATCTGATGAGGCTACGAAATGTATCAACCATCTCCACAGAACTGAGCTTCATGGAAGAATGATCTCCGTAGAGAAGGTAAGGCAGTCCTTGCCTATTCTAACTCATGAACTTTACATGGGGGAAGACCTAGTCCATGAGCCATTTCTATCTGCATTATATTTTTAGGCCAAAAACGAACCTGCTGGGAAAAAGCTGTCCGACAAAAAGGAGTGTGAAGTGAAGAAGGAAAAAGTATCTAGTGTTGACAGACATCATCCTGTGGAGATCAAAATTGAAAAGTAAAGTAATTTTTTTTAAATACTTTTTTTATTGATTTCAGAGAGGAAGTGAAAGGAAGATAGAAACATCAGTGATGAGAAAGAATCATTAATTGGCTGCCTCCTGCATGCCCCTACTGGGAACGAGCCCGAAACCTGGGCATGTGCCCTTGACCGGAATTGAACCTGGGACCCTTCAGTCCGCAGGCCGATGCTCTATCCACTGAGCCAAACCAGCCAGGGCTAAAGTAATTTTTTAAACACTTTCTCTTGGGATGATGGCTGGGAGGAGGGCAGGTGGCAGCCACAGGGTCGCTCATGAAACAGGCATGTGTCCTTTGCATAAACAGCCTCACCAGCTTCTCATTTACATCACAGGTGATTTTTGCATCTTGCTGCTACTTCAGTATTTAGCTTTCAACAGATACTCATTTCATAATGCTAAAAAATGGATTCCGATGATTCTTTTTTTTTAAATATATTTTATTGATTTTTTACAGAGAGGAAGGGAGAGAAAGAGTTAGTAACATCGATGAGAGAGAAACATCGATCAGCTGCCTCTTGCACATCTACTGGGGATGTGCCCGCAACCCAGGTACATGCCCTTGACCGGAATCGAACCCGGGACCCTTCAGTCCACAGGCCGACGCTCTATCCACTGAGCCAAACCGGTTTCGGCCAGATGATTCTTAATAAGTATGTACGTCTAACCTAGTAGCCTGTTGAAAAAACAAAACAAAATGAATAACATGTTTTTATTTATTAAATATATTTTTATTGATTTCAGACAGGAAGGGAGAGGGAAAGAGAGAGATAGAAACATCAGTGATGAGAGAGAATCATTGATCGGCTGCCTCGTGCACGACCCCTACTGGGAGTCAAGCCCATAACCCAGCCATGTGCCCTTGACCAGAATCGAACTTGGAACCTTGAGTCTGCAGGCCAATGTTCTATCCACTGAGCCAAACCAGCTAGGGCAAAATTTATTTTTTATTCCAAACATCCTGGGCCCTTGCACAGCCTCTGAAAACTTGGAATCATTTCGTGGTCCAAGTTGATTTTCATGTGAATCTTGCTTTTTATCCCAGCAACTGCAAAAACCCAGCTTTGCAAAGATAACATCGTTATTCAAAGGAATGTAAGCTGGTTGAATATTGAAATGAGCAGCCTTAAGCTAGTATTTTGTGCAGTGCCTGGCAGTTGTCAAGTATTTTTGTGTTTCCCTCAAAAACTTGAAATATCCCAGAGTACCTATGAGTTCACTGTGGTACATTGGGGGTACCTTGGCATAGGAATTTGGGGATCACAGGTCTGAGATACTATTTTTATAAAGGAGGTGATTTGTAGAAATAGGGACAGACCTTTCACAGCAGGCATTTATTATACTTTTATCAAAACAATATGCTTGCCCTAGCCAGTTTGGCTCAGTGGATAGAGCATCAGCTTGCGGACTGAAGGGTCCCGGGTTTGATTCCGGCCAAGGGCACATGCCCAGGGTGCGGGCTCCGATCCCCAGTAGTGGGTGCGCAGGAGGCAGCCGATCAATGATTCTCTTTCATCATTGATGTTTCTGTCTCTCTCTCCCTCTCCCTTCCTCTCTGAAATCAATAAAAATATCAAAACAAAACAAAAGCCATATGCTTATCTTTGGGATAGGTAGAATTTGGTGACGTGCTTGATAACAGTGCTATTCTCAGAACACTGTGTGTCTGTTTTACGTTTATATTGTCAACACAATTTATTTCCACTTCCAGGTCCACTTGGCATTCTAAAAATTAAACCCTTTGCTAAGAATCTGTAAATTTCACAGTAATTCCATTTTGCTGGGGTTTTTTACATTAAGAAAATTTATAGTTGAGTAAACATGGGTGTGGACATCAATACTCATAAGTTAGGCTTGGTTTTTAATGGTGTAATTGCTGGTCTTCACTGTGACCAAGTTAGAAATTGTAGGCCCATGAGAAATAGCTATCAGATGAGCCTTCATGTACTTAGAAGTAAGACCCATGATTTTATCAGCAACTTCTTGAAAAAGGGACACATCTATTAGCAGTGCTAAAAATATCTATTGTTAGAATATGGGAAGCTGTTGAGAGTTGTTGGTTTTCTTAGTGTCTTGAGATGCTTTTCGTTCATTGATGTTTTTGAATCACAGAAGTGAGATGTGTTTATGGCAAAAAGAAAGGGGATAATAATCAGCTAATGTGTGTGTGTGTGCAGGGGAGTCCCTTAGTCCCTGGAAGAGTCCTGTGAGGTCTGCTCTGTGTAGAAAGAAGAGGAAACTGGCTCAGAAAGGGGACCCAAGGTCACATAGCTCAGCTGGCAAGCAGCAAGGCCAGAATTTAGTCCTAAGCTGTTGCCCTCAGTGCTGGAGCACTTAACTGGGTGATGAGCTTAAGGTGTTTAAAACCAAACGGCCTTCAAGTGGTTTGCCCAGGTTGAATATTTCAAAATTTGTTTTTAACCTTATTTATTTCATTCAAATAAACACCTTTATTAACCTTTCCTTCTATATTAAGAATTTCTAGGCTTAATCGTCAGCCTAAGTCAGTGGTTGGCAAACTGCGGCTCACGAGCCACATGCGGCTCTTTGGCCCCTTGAGTATGGCTCTTCCTAAGCCTTAGGAGTACCCTAATTAAGTTAATAACAGTGTACCTACCTATATAGTTTAAGTTTAAAAAATTGGGCTCTCAAAAGAAATGTCAATAGTTGTACTGTTGATATTTGGCTCTGTTGACTAATGAGTTCGCCGACCACTGGCCTAAGTGAAATGGAGAAGCTTGTCCATAGAGGTGGCTTGTCTTTGTTGTCATGGATTAGTAGTGATTTTTCTATAATTGTTGTTTAGAACGCACACACTGAAGTCAGGCAAAATACCACTACCTGGTGGGAACCTTTCTGGTATATGTCTCTCCAGCCTTTTTTCCTATGTGGAGGTGTTTTCTTTGTTGGTTTTCTTGTGTGGGTTTTTTTTGCTTGCTTGTTTTTAACTTAGTGTTATCAACAAGTTTGTTGTGTCTCTAGGAGGTGCCATATGAGTACAGAACAAGTAGGGAGAGGTCTCCTATTGAAACATTTTTCAGGTCTCCTTGGAGGGAGGAGGCACCACTGCAGAACGTTGGAAGAGGTACATCAGAGATGATTCATGGTGGCTTTATTTGCAGTCATATAGTCACTGGAACCAATTTCTAGTCTATCTTAAGGGAAATGGAAATAACTGTGCACTGTTGGGTAGCAGTTGAAAGGAACCAGATCTGTGTATATATCCACACAGACTAACCTTTTTAAAAAAATAATAATAATAATAATTTTATTGATTTTAGAGAAGAAGGGAGAGAGAGATTGAAACATCAATGATGAGTGAGAATCATTCATCAGCTGCCTCCTGGCATGTGCCCTGACTGGGAATTCTGGTTTGCAGGTCAGTACTCAACCCCTGAGCCACACCGACTGGGCCAGACTAACCTTTCAAGCAGTGATTTTTCAACCGGTGTGCTGCAAGAATTTTTAAAACATGCAATACCTGACGATTTAATCAAGGGTACGGACCTCTTTTTCCTTAGATTGTCAAAATAAAAAATGACAATAGCCATTTGGTGTGAATGAATCAAAATCATACCTTTTTTTTTCTCTTTGTCACATCGGCAAAAAAATACATTTTTTGGTGTGCAGCAGAATTTTAGTAATTAGTTTGTGTGTGCCATCATCTGAAAAAGGCTGAAAATTGCTGCTTTAAAGCATGAGGTGAAAAGCGCTGAAGAGCAACATATAAAGGCCCATCCCAGTATGTTAGTCTCCAGAAATGTTGTAAAACATCCCTGAAGATCTTCAGGGTTATGTGAAAGTACCCAGAAAGGTTCGAGAGGTGAGCCAAATGATTGACAGTTATGGCACCATGGGTGGTGATGTCTTGTCTTGGGGATGGGACGAGTGTGTCTGTGACCTTCACTCCATCTATAGTATTGTACTGTAAGGGAAACCTGCCCTGGTTGTTTTTTTCTCATCTGCCCGGGGACCAAAGGGTCAAGTGATTCCAGGTCAAATGGCACGTATCTCAGTTGCAGGTTCCCTGGCCCTGGTAGGGGCATGTGTGGGAGGCAACCAATCGATGTGTCTCTCTCACATCGATGTTTCTATACTTCCTCCCTCCCTTACACTCTCTAGAAATCAGTGGAAAAAATATCCTCGAGTGAGGACTTAAAAAAAAAAGAAACCAATATGTTAAAAACATTTACAGCCCTAACTGGTTTGGCTAGGTGGATAGAGCATCGGCCTGTGGACTGAAAGGTCCCAGGTTCGATTCCGGTCAAGGGCATGTACCTTGGTTGCGGGCACATCCCCAGTAGGAGGTGTGCAGGAGGCAGCTGATCGATGTTTCTCTCTCATCAATGTTTCTAACTCTCTATCACTCTCCCCTCCTCTCTGTAAAAAAATCAATAAAATATATATATATATGAAAAAACATTTACAATTGTCAATTTTGGCACACACCATCAATGATTATGGTATGTGCTTACATTTTTAAAATCTTCAGATTAAAAGTTTTTCTCAAAATGAATATCAATTTAAAAACACAGCTTTGTGCTGTGGAAGTCTAGGAGAAAGGAAGAGTGAACTGAGAGGGGTTTCTTTGGCCAGTGTGAACTCTGTTCAGGTTGTAGGGAAAAGAAGAAAAGAAGTGCTAGTTAGAGAATCCAGCAGGACCTGGCTTTCCTGTCCTGGGGCTTGGCACATGGTGGGCATTTAATCACTAGAATTTAATTGCCTGAGACAAACACCATTAGGAAATATAGAAGACATTTTAAATGGCAGCAATGATTTATTTCACCACTTAGAATAAAACTTCCTTGCCTGGCCAGTGTGGCTCAATGGTTGAGCATTGGCCTATGAACCATGAGGTCACAGTTTGATTCTCAATCAGGGCACATGCCTAGCATGTGCTTAAATCCCCAGTGGGGGGTGTGCAGGAGGCAGCTGATCAATGATTCTCTCTCAATGATGTTTCTATCTCTCCCTCTCCCTTCCTCTCTGAAATCAATTCCTATATAATAAAAGCCTAATATGCAAATCGACCAAATGGCAGAACAACTGGTTGCTATGACTCGCACTGACCACCAGGAGGCAGAAGCTCTACGCAGGAGCTGCCCCAGGCCAGCCAAGGCGGGTGCAAGCACCCCCCTCCCCCCATCGCCCCACTGGTTGCCCCACAGATTGGCCCTGATCACCAGCCAGGCCTAGGGACCCTACCTGTGCATGAGTTTTGTGCACCAGGCCTCTAGTAAAAATAAAAAAGAATAAAACTGGTCTGGCTGGTGTGATTCAGTGGTTGAGTATCCACCTATGTACCAGGAAGTCGCTGGTTTAATTCCCCATCAGGGCACATGCCTGGATTTCGTGCTTAATCTTTAGCAGGGGCGTCAGGAGGCAGCTGATCAATGTTTCTCTCTCATCACTGTTTCTATTTCTCACTCTCCCTTCCTCTCTCTCTAAAAAACAATCAAAATATTTTTTAAAAAACAAAACTGCCTTTGGTTGAAATGTTAGAGTTTCCATATTTGCTGGCATATAACACAGCATTTTATTTTATTTTATTTTATTTTTAAATATGTTTTTTATTTCAGAGAGGAGGGGAAGGGAGAGAAAGATACAAATATCAATGATGAGTGAGAATCATTGATTGGTTACTTCCTGCATGCCCCACACTGGGGATTGGGTCTGCAACCCGGGCTTGTGCTCTGACCGGGAATCGAACTGTGACCTAGTTCATAGGGCAACGCTCAACCACTGAACCACGCTGGCTGGGCTAACAACATTTTAACTCCTCAAAGTATGCAGATATTGCCAGGTACCAAGTGTTAGTGGGTAGGTGGCTCACTGCTTCATGCTGTAGGAACATCCGGTCGTGGTCCTGTACCTCCATTCTATATTATATTATACCTGTTTGGGGAGAATTTTTTCCCTACAAAACTTAATATTCCACATATACAAAATGTTTCAAAATGAGACATTTGAAAATAGTTTTTCACAAGCATTCTTCCATTGTGTCTACTTGCATACCTGTCATATATATGAGTGCTTCTAGCATCTTGGAAAAAACATCCTCATAAGCTTGCAGTTTTATCCTGCATATTTCGAGATGTGATAGTTAACTTAAGTGGGAATAGGGGCTGTGTCTGAAGAGGAGAATATTACCACAGTTTTCAAATAATTCTCCCCATCCACTTGCTGCTGGCCTGGTTTGTTTTGCGCATCAATCTGAGCGAGCAAACTGCTCCTGTTAGAGTCTCAGGAACTCAAGTTTGATAACCATGTTTTTACATAGAACTGTAATTAAGAAGGAAGAGAAGATGGAGAAAAAGGAGGGGAAAAGGCCGGAAGACATTAAGAAGGAAGAAAAAGACGAAGACGAGCTAAAACCAGGAACTACAAATCGGTCCAGAGTCACCAAATCAGGTGATTAGAGGCTAAGTGTTCCTGAGGGGGGAAGAGCCTGTCAGAATGGGCTGGTAGGTGTCATAATCAAGTAGGTACAGCGAGCTTTTTAGTGACTTTGCTTAGTTTTGCTGCTTATAGGAAGCCATTAAAGCAACAAGCCTCAGGTGATGAGGTGGCTTAAAGGAGTTTCTACACAACAGCAGAAATGCAGAGATATTCTGGTTAGTGATTTAACTGTACTGGCAGCTCAGTGACCAGGGTTCTTATTTTTCCTGAGTCTTTAACAGGAAAGAGTGGGGGGTTTGCCAGAGGGGTATGTCTTAGTTCTTGTAACTAATTCAGTACAAGTCTGTAGGTGTGTAATCTTACTTTTCTTGCCTGTATGGTAAAGCCAGTTCCAATGAAAAACAAAAAAACGAAAAAATCTTATGTCTGTAGACTGTGGAGTAGGAGCAGTTGCACTTATAGTGTGCCACATCTGTTGTCATATAAAAATTCCTTGTACTCTGCACCTTCAGATTTGCATGAGGCTCCACAGAATGTTTTGTGGCAAAAAAAAAAAAAAAAAAGAAAAGAAAAGAAAAGAAAGAAAGCCTATCCCCTCCCCTTTCCAAAAAAGAAAACCAGAAACAAAACCTGACCATCTGGAGCACTGGGATTTGGTGCAGTGCATTACAAGTTAGATCTTAATCATTGGGGTAATTGGCCAGCAGTCTCATGAGGAAAGTGTTTTTAAAATGCTCCTGGAGTATTGCAAATTTCCCTAAATCCATGGTTGTTCTGGCAGTTAGAGCCTGCTTAGCTTGTTGTGAAGAGGAAGAATTGGTGTAGAGCCTTTATTGCTGAAGACTGATGAAGGGAAGCCCACTTTGGGGGTGGGGAGGGCCTCCCTCGGAGCCAGCAGTATCTAATTCAGAGCACAAGAGCCTGGTTCTGCAGAGCATTCCACACTGTGTGATAGGAATAAAAATTGAAATTGGTTATCCTGGAGCCACTAGGATTGAGTATGAGGGGTAAAGGAAACAAACCTACAGGTGAGATTTGTTTGTGTACATGTTGCAGAATGCACTTTGACTCAGATTTAAGTTGTAAGATGCAGGCAAGTCCATTCTAGATGAGCAAAGACCCAAACACTGCCAGCCATTTTCCGCCCAGTGTAGCCATATTGGTAGTGCTTCTTTTTTGGTAATCCTCGCTAGAGGATATTCTTTCCTTTGGATTTTAGAGAGAGTGGAAAGGAGAGAGAGGGAGAGAGAAACAATTTTTTTCATCATGAAGACAGGGACAAGACACAAAGTCTTTAGCGTTAGCATTAGTCACTTGACAGCTGGTTGTGGGGAGGCAAGAGCCCCCAGCTGGCTTGTGTACATCAGCACATTTTCACAGATTGCTGTGTTTTTTCCTGAAGGAAGCAGAGGAATGGAACGGACAGTAGTAATGGATAAATCAAAAGGAGAGCCTGTCATTAGCGTGAAAACCACAAGCAGGTCAAAAGAAAGAGTGAGTATTGCTTCTGCCATCTCAAGGCCAGCCGTTTTTTATTTGCATTGTGAAAACAACATTGTTTGGCCTTTAAAACAGGAGTTCTTTGAAGTCCTTGGGAGGCATATTGTTAACTCTTTAGATTATGCATAGAAACATGAAATTTGATTCTAGAACTTATTTCAGAACAATGCTTACCCATGTTTGCTTTCCAGAAATGTGTTCGCCCTTCTCTGATTCTTTGTCAGGTTATACCATCTTCTAGGAGAACTGGTTCCCAGTGACAGCTGGAAGGACAAGACCCAGGCTTTACAAATCGGAGGCAGCTTCTACTCTTTGGCTAATCTAATAGCAGTTTATTCATTTTCTTTAGTTGATTTTCTATTAAATTAACCAAAAAGAAAAGTGGAGTCCACCCTAAAACTGTCATGTCCTCAGACAACGAGCTACATTGCTTATTAACCTGTGCACATAGCTGGACAGGCTAGGGGCCTCTCATTTTGCTCTTCCATTCTGGAAAACAAACCCTCTGTTTCCCAGATGAAGATTCCAGCTAATATGTTAATGAGGAGAGCAACACTTTTTCAGTGAATACACTTTTTTATGATTCACCCAAGAATACTTTGTGTTGTTAAGACTTAAGTTTTAAATTAACATTTGGATTTCATAGAGAGCAATTTCTAATGCCATTTTTTCCTTGGGCTACATGGAAATCATACAATACAGAGAAATAAACAAAAAAGACCCATAAACTTACCACTCAGATAACTGATGTTAAAAAAAAAAAAAGTAGTAGTAATGTAAACATGATTAAAGCATTCAGATAGTAAAAGAAGGCACAACATCAGCACAATGGAAGCCTCTTTTCTGCACGGGCTCCTCACTTCTCTCACAGTACTGTACACACAACACATTGTGTATGCTCTGAAACACCACCACTAACAGGTTCCTATAACTTGCTCTTGGACACTTTGTGCATAATATACTGAGACATACAGTGCTACTTTCTAATTTAATTTTGAAATTGTTGCAGATTCACAGAGAGCTGTAAAGAATAGGACAGAGGTCCCATGTGTCCGTCACCCAGTTTTGCCCAATGATTTTATTTCCTGTAACTGTAGCACAATATCAAAGCCAGGAAGGTGATGTCGATGTACAGTGTGTATGCAGTGCTAAGACATTTAATCGCTAGTGTAGATGGACATGTCCCGCTGTTGAAAACTGCTGTGGGCAGCCTTCCTATGCCTCCCTCTTGACAGACTTGTAACCACCACTCAGTGGGATTGCTAGGTCCAAAGGTGTGTGTGTGTGTTCTTTGTGGTAGATGTTATCAGGTGCCCTTTAGAAAGTTACAGAGGATGCTGACATTCCTGGGGTGCGGAGCTTGTGCTGAGTCACCAGTAAGTGGCGAGGCCATGTTGTGACCAGGAGTACAATTTGAGGACTGCAGTGCCTGTTGGTCTCTGCACTAGATCGCATCCTTCCCCCGGAACCTAGGGTGGCTGTCCCTCCTCATTCAACCTGCAGTGTGTGTGATTACACTTTAAGCTCTGTCCGTCTCATAGGTGAAGAGTGTCCTATGATGTTTTGGGGGTGAATCTGTCCTCTATTTGTATGTCCCTCTCTATTCCCCCCAACCCCCACAATCTCTCTCTTTTTTTTTAAATTAAATCTTTATTGTTCAGATTATTACAGTTGTTCCTCCTTTTTCCCCCCATAGCTTCCCTCCACTCGGTTCCCACCCCACCCTCTGCCCTTACCCCCCACCACTGTCCTCATCCATAGGTGTACGATTTTTGTCCAGTCTTTTCCTGCACCCCCATACCCCTCTCCCCGCCCCCCGAGAATAGTCAGTCCACTCCCTTTCTATGCCCCTGATTCTATTATATTCACCAGATTATTCTGTTCATTCGATTATTTATTCACTTGACTTTTAGATTCACTTGTTGATAGATGTGTATTTGTTGTTCATAATTTGTATCTTTACCTTTTTCTTCTTCCTCTTCTTAAAGGATAGCTTTCAGCATTACAATCTCTTTTTTTAGTAGAAGAGCTGGTTCTAATCTTTGCCCATCTTCCTTCCAGGTTGCTTTGTCTTTCATTGATTTTTTTTTTAACCCCCTGTGTGGGCTAATTAAGAAATTAAGCTGAACAGCATTTTTTAAAAAGATTTTAAATTGATTTTTAGAGAGAGGAATGGAGAGAGGGAGAGAGAAAGAGAAACATCTATGTGAGAAGAAAACATTGATTAGCTGCCTCTTGCATGCCCCCACCAGTGATTGAATCTGCAGCTCAAGTATGTGCTCTGACCAGGAATTGAACCAGCGCAACCTTTTAGTGTACAAGATGACACCCTTAACCAACTGAGCCACACCGGCCAAGACAGAGCAGCTTTTTAAAAATGTGGTGTCCCAGACCCTGTCCTGTGTAGGAGGTCCTGGGTTCTGGGCTATGTGAAAGCTTCCTGGGAGAGTTTGACTTGTGGCCAGTCTTGGGTGTCTCAGCCTCTGAGAGCCTTAAAGATGTTAGTTGGCCATCGTTGTTTCCTACCTTATGCCAGAAATAGAATAGTCAAGTCTCCCATTAATCTTTTCTACCTTATTACAGTACAATACCTTGGATTATTCTGTTTTAAGGCTGCCTGCCTGAGCCCTGACCTAGCACTTGAGAAGTGAAAGATGCAGCCCTTCATCTTAGTCCAAACAGCTGGCTCGACAGCTGCCCCCCAGTGACTGAAGGGGCCATGTGGCTCTGCTACACTAGAAAAACTGCCTGTAGGTTTTCTGAGGTTTCATCCCATCTTTTCTCTTCCCTTAATATCCTTTGCTTACAAGGTTTAAAAGCCAGACTATAGGGCCCTAACCTGGTAGGTCAGTTAATTAGAGCGTCATCCCGACACACCAAGGTTGTGGGTTTGATCCCTGGTCAGGGCACATACAAGAGTCAACAGGTGAGTACATAAATAAGTGGAATAACAAATTGATCTCCCTCCCTCCCCCCCACCCCCACCCCCAAAAGCAGTTTAAAGAAAAATTAAAGACAGACTATGGGGTGAGCAGTGTGACTCGGATGTGGAGTGAAGCGGCCTGTGCTCGGGCCTCCATGTAACCTGAGTGCGACAGAAGAATCTTAGTCTAATCCAGATAATGCATATTTAACTTTCATTGTACATTTGTTGTAATCATTTTTCTGACATTAATAAACCAATTTTGGTGAACAGAGCTCCAAGAGTCAGGATCGAAAATCAGAAAGCAAAGAGAAGAGAGACATCTTGTCGTTTGACAAAATCAAAGAGCAAAGGGAGCGAGAGCGCCAGAGGCAGTGGGAGCGGGAAATCCGGGAGTCGGAGAGGCGGCGGTGAGTGGGCTGAGCCAGGCTGCTGGGCTGCTGGGCTCCTCTGGGGGTGGTTGTCCTTTCTCCCCAAGTGAGTCTCCTCTGTAGCCTGGGCCTGCAGGCCATCTTGTGTGTTTCCCCTGGGCCAAAAGGATAGTATGATATTCATCAAAAGCCTTTTTTTTTTTAATTGAATTTATTTGGGTGACATTGGTTTATAAAATTATACGGGTTTCAGGTGTACGACTCTCCAGTGCATCATTTGTGTATTGAATGTGTGTTTACATCCCACCATCGAAAGCCCATTTCTGCTGAGCATTTCCTCTGGCTGATGGTGGGCCCTGGCCCGTGGAGCCCACCCAGGGATGGCTTTGATGGAAGGGTCCCCAGTGTCGAGGCCTCAGTCTTCCCTCTGGAAATGTACATAAGTAAGATTTCTTTAAAAAGGCAGCCAAGAAATGTGGCAGTTTTATTGGAGATGTTATAGGAGTGGCTTCTTCACCCCTGGATGTCTGCAGTTCATGGCCTTTCCAGGCATCAGGGGTCGCAGTCATGTTCTTTGCCCCTCTCACCTTTTATTAAGAAGATAGTTTATTGAAGTAAGCCTGGCATTTCCCCTTCTGTGTTCTGCCATATTCTGTATAGACATGTAGAGCCCCCTTGACATTTCCTTCCAGTGGTGGCCCATGAACCAAAAGTTTTCCATCATAGTGTTTGGAGAACTTACTTGAGCTAAAGTAGATCACATACAAACCTCTTAAGTTATGCTACGTTTGCTTTTATCTGAAGTCATGTGATCTCAGCTCCTGCCTGTGTCACTTTAGAAAATAAAAGCACATTGAGAAGCCTTTTGATTCCATTCGGAGGTATTTTGCTTCCAGCTCGCTCATGCTTGGTTTGGAGCCTTTCCAGGCTGGTGGAGTGTGCGACAGCGTGTCCTCTTCTCACACAGAGAGGGGTGGGCCCAATCTCTGCTCAGCTCCTGGTGTGCCGTGACTGAGGACATGAGACCTTGGTCCCAGCTGCCGGTGCCAGGCCAGCATACAGTCACCTCACGAGCCTTCGCCTGTCCCCACACCTTCCTAGGTCTATTCAAAATGACACTCATTTAAAAATACAGTGTTTTTAGAGGGAAGATGTAGAAAAGAGCTGGCTCATTGTACAGCATTAACCTGCAACAGAGTACCCCTTCACCCTCAGGGAAAGCTACTGTAATCGCTTCTTAAGGGTTTTCTCTGTATACACAGCAGTTACCCTTTGCTTTTCTGATTTTTTTCTGCTTTACTGATGTGTGGCTTTATTTGGGGGCCTTTGAGCCAAGTCCTCCTGGCCTGGACCTGAGCTCTGTGTCTCCTTGCTGTCGCCTGGTCCCTCTCAGCCCACCTCTTTTTTGAGAAAGGGAAAGTTTGGACATTGGGGCTTCTGGCTGTTCCAAACAACTTAGCGGGAGTGGGTAAGCACCTGCCGTCTATAGCCTGGGCCCAGGCCAGTGAGCATCCAAGAAGTCCAGAATGGCCAAATGGAAGTATCCTGCCCCTTCGGAGGGCAGTGCCTCGATAGCCAGGGACCTTCACGGTGGGAAGTCAGAGTGGCCTTGCTGTGTCCCTGCAGAGAGCGCGAGCAGCAGCAACGCCTGGAGGCCTGGAAGGAGAAGGCACGGCTGCACCGCCTGGAGGCCTGGAAGGAGAAGGCACGGCTGCACCGGGAGCGCCTGGAGCTTGAGTGCCAGCGTCACCTCCTGGAGTGGGAGCGCATGGAGCGGGAACGGCTGGAACGAGAGCGTATGCGAGTGGAGCGTGAGCGCAGGAAGGAGCAGGAGTGCATTCAACGTGAGCGCGAGGAGCTGCGGCGTCAGCAGGAGCAACTGCGCTATGAGCAGCGGCAGGGGCTCCGGAGGCCCCATGATGATGGGAGGTAGGATCCAGCCCACCTCCCATTCCAGGAGCTGCTTTGGCTGCTGTCCATCTGAGTGTTGGAGAATCGGGGCCATTTAACACGCGATTTGCCTGTCCAGAACTCGTTGCCCTCACCACGAGTGTGTAGTTTAATGTCACGATCTTCTGGCTGTGCAGCTTTCTCCCCAGCTGAGTTCATCGGAGAATCTTGATGGTTCCAGTGCTGAGGGGTTTGTGATGCTTTCGCGTAGGCCGGGCCTTTATTTGCACTGTGCTTCCTGGTGGAGCGTCACCACCCTCCAAGTGCTGCTGCCGGAGATGACCAAGCGTGCATTAGGCCCGCATTGGCCATGGCCGCCACTCCATATCGTGTCCTTGTAGGCGGGGGAAAGGCACAGAGTCGGCACTGTGGGAAAGGACATTGCCTTCTGTTTTAAAAGTAGGTTTATTGGTCTCTGGCTTCTCTGAGCTGCTTAATTGTCAGTCACCCATCACCTCACCACCCATGAGCCTAGTTTTCTGGTAAAAATCAGGAAGAAGATAATTGGATGCTGTCCTAAGCTGTATGTAGTTCACTATCACCTGATTTCATTCCCTTTGCCTTTTGCCAAAATCTCAGGGGGAGGTTCAGGTTATAGAAGATGGGAAGCTGAAAACGTGGCACCTCAGAATACCAGTCCTAAAGACTCAAGTATTTTATTTCACTTGCATTTGAACTCAGGTGGGGATCAAGGTATTAACAGCCTTATGACACAATTAGCTCACAGCAGTCTGATGTTCAGAATTGTCAGCTGAGAATACTCATGCCTCTTGGCAGTTTTGGGGATATTAATTTATCAAGTCAAAGTGATAGTGATTGAATGTTTAGAAATGAGCCCTGCAGGACATTTTAAATGATGCTGGGTCTGGAGAGAGAACTCCCCTCCCCACCTTCACTCTCTTTTTTCCTTCGTTCTCTTTCATAAGTAAAATTTACATCCTTTTTACAATAGGCGAGATGATGCCTATTGGCCAGAAGGAAAACGTGTGGCCCTGGAGGACAGGTACCACCCAGACTTCCCTCGGTACGATCACCGCTTCCACGACTTTGACCATCGAAACCGAGGCCAGTACCAGGACCATGCGGTCGACAGGTCAGTCCCCCACCCCCTTTTTGCAGTAGAGACAGGCCTCCCTCTGTTCTCTTAATGTCTGATTTACTTGTGATGTCCTAGTGGGTACGCTTTGACCAGCCACACATGGGATTTAGAAACAGGCCTTGAGCAAAGTGTTGGAATCGCTGGTCAGTTATGGCATCCGGGACTTGTCTGGCAAGAAGGTCCCCCGGAGCTCATTTCATCCACTGTCCTTTGCACAGAGAGGATGGATGGGGCCCTCGGCAGGACCTGAGCCTCAGAATTCCCCAACACTCAGCTCTCTTGGGGGTGGCCCAGGCTCTGGGTTTTGCACCTTCCTAGAGATTCCTCCCTGTCCCTCCCGCCAGCACCAGCCCCCCAAGATTCACTATCACCCAATCTAATTCCTTTTGCCTTTTGCATAGTCGGGGAGGAAGCAATTAATATACAGAGATGAGGAAGCAGTTTTTAGAAGAGGTGTGACCTGCCTAAGCTGGTGAAGGCAGAGTGGGCAGGAGGGTGTACTGACGGGTGTAGGTTTCTGTGCCAGCAAACTGCAAAGAGAACTGACCAGAGAATGTGGGCCTTGTTTGTGTTGTGAAGGTCAGGGTGGGTTTTAGCCGTGTTGTTTTCCTTTGCCGTGCCTTCTTCAATGAGGACTAGATTAGGAAGACAGCCCTCACTTTTCCAGTTGAAGAGTTCTCTCTCTCTGGGAGAAATCTCACTGGGCTCCCCTGGGCTGCATATCCTGGAGCCATTTCACCATTCATTAGCTCTCTGTAAGGGAAGAGAGAACAGGGAAAATGTGGCTAAAAAGCTACTTATTTACTTCATTGTGGCTGGAGTTGCTTTGAGATTTGGTGTGAATCAAATGTGTTGGGCCAGAGGTTAGGTTTCCCTGTTACCGGGCCACAGGTAAATGAAGTCTTAGCTTCATTCAGGGGTGTCTGCTTCTGAGACCCTTCCCTCCAGGGTATTTCAATAAAATTAATATTTCCACCTTCTTAGGATCTGACTTTACTCCCACCCCCAGGGAAAGATGTGAGCCAGCTTTTTTTTTTTTTTTAAATCAGGCAGTTCTTATATGGGGAAATAGAATGAGTACCCCAATTGTGGGTTTTGTGGGACCTGTAGAAATGTTGTATGGTACCATCAGCTGCCATTGGAATTAAATTTTTTTTTTCCAGGAGGGAGGGCTCAAGGACAGTGATGGGAGAGCGAGACGGACAGGTGAGTAACGCCCAGATAATGGGTCCCTGCTCTGTGTCTGGGTGGGCGGGGGAGCATGGACATGGCGTTCTGGAGAACGAGTAACACACAGAATTGCTTGTTTTCTGATAAGTGGGGGCTTTGTTCAGATGCATAGGGCTTGTTCTTGTTTCATTTTATCTAGCAGAAACTGCAAATAGCTCTTATTGCCAGCTTGCTTAGACTCAGAGTCTAAGCAAGGATCTTGCTTAGAGTGCCTCTGAGTCTCGGGACTGTGGGTACCCCAAATGGGGTGTAGCGGCCTGTCAGGAGGTCATTTAGCCCATGTTTTGGGAGGTCCCTCTGTTTCAGGTACCTTTGGGGTGTATCTCAGTGTCTCTAACCTGCTGATACCTGGTGAGGGGTGCATAGGTGTCAGTTCAGAGAAAAGGGGAGCCTGCCAGGAGAAAGGCAGGGACAGGCATCACAGCATAGTTTTTAAAACAAGAGTGTGTTTGCTGAGAACACTAGACCAGGCCCATCACTGCCCAGATGTGCTGGATTCCTGAGCACAGAACTGGTTGGCCAGGGCACTGAAGTTCTCTTCAGCGCTTGCCTCCAGTGTCAGCTACTGAGGGGCCGTGCCACCTCCATAGGTTGATGGCAAAGGAGGAAGTCGGAGTGGATGGGGTGGAAGGGGACCTCCTATCAGCAAGGAAGACTCTAAGTGGCTTTTCTCAGTGGACCTCACAGCGCCAGAGAGGCTTGTGCTGCCACTTTGTGTGGCACCGGTGATAGAGCTGTAGGGACGCTCAGTTCTCAAGCAAGGAACCAAAGAGCTCTGCCAAGAGCCCCTCTGGTATTGTCAGGGTCACAAACAGAGCATCCAGCAACTAGCAAGATTCAGAATGGGCCTGGGCAGGTCCTTTCAGAGTGGCCAGAGGTGCTGTGGCACACCCTGGCCCACCCCAGCAGTGTGTATAGGTTGACAGGCCTTCCAGAGATGAACCTGTGCAGGCCTGTAGGGAGTGAGAAGATGGCTAGAGTCACCCTGTCCTTTTGCCTTTCAGCACTACTCAGATGACCGCCATGGCCATGGAGGACCACCAGAGCGCCATGGCCGGGACTCTCGGGATGGCTGGGGGGGCTACGGCTCAGACAAGAGAATGACTGAGGGCCGGGGGCCACCACCTCCACCCAGGTTAGTGGGCAGGCCATGATGGTGGTGGGCATCTTCCCTTGGCTAGAGGCCCGCCCCTCTGAAAGTGAACTGTCTGTGTGCATCTTGCCAGGTTGCCTGCATCACCCCAGTTATGAACATCTGTATCACAAGGCCCCTGCCTGCTGAAGGAGACATCCCTGAAGCCTTTCTTAGATTTGTCCCCCTAGACCAGCGGTTCTCAACCTGGGGGTCGAACGACCCTTTCACAGGGGTCGCCTAAGACCATCGGAAAACACATATATAATTACATATTGTTTTTGTGATTAATCACTATGCTTTAATTGTGTTCGATTTGTAACAATGAAATTGGGGGTCACCACAACATGAGGAACTGTATTAAAGGGTCGCGGCATTAGGAAGGTTGAGAACCACTGCCCTAGACAGTAGAGAAGCTTTACTCCCCCACATCTACACACACACACCCCAAAGTTGTCTTTAGGAATTTTGAAGGCCAGCATCTTGGATACCAGAAGGTTCTACTTTATCTCTCGTGGGGTTTCAGGTGTTCAGTCTGATAGATTAATGGAAAGTGTGCTCCCCGAGTGACCTACTTAGCACTCCGTCTTTAACATTTAAACCATTTTCCTTAAATTGCTGTGGGAAAAACAAATGAGAGAACTCTCTTTCTCAGACTGGAGATAGCCCTGAACAGCATCACTGCATGATTGGGCACTGTCACCTGTAGGCAGATATTGGAAACTTTCGGGTCTCTTTGGGGAGCAGTTTTGCATTTGCCCTCCTAGACGTGTTGGGGGCTCTGGTGGATTCCTAGTCCTTGCCTCTGAGCACTGGTCAGCCCGGTGGCCAGTACACTTGTCATTCTAGACTCAGCCTTGGTCTTATCATTCCTGGACAGTCATGATGACTGCTGGGACCATATTTGGATTTTAATCTCCCAGAATTTCTGCCTGAAACAGTTTTTTTAAAAATATGTTTTTATTGATTTTAGAGAGAGGGGCAGGGAAAGGGATAGAAAGAGAGAAACACAGATTGGCTTTCTCCTACACGATCCCTACTGGGGATTGAGCCCACAACCTGGGCATGTGACCTGACTGGGAATCAACCGGTGACCTCTTGGTACATTGGTTGACACTCAAACCACTGAGCCACACCAGCCAGCCTCTTTTTCAAACAGCTTTTTTGAGACATAGTTCACATGCCGTATAGTTCACCCATTTAAGGTGTACAATTCGCCGTAGCAGGTTTGGCTTAGTGGATAGAGCATCGGCCTGTGGACCAAAGGGTTCCGGGTTTGATTCCCGTCAAGGGCACGTACTGGTTGCAGACTCCTCCCCGGCCTGGGCTCTGGTCCGGGCTCGTGCAGGAGGCAACCGATGGATGTGTTTCTCTCACGTCAATGTTTCTCTCTTTCCCTCTCTCTTCCACTCTCCCTAAAAATCAATGGAAAAATATCCTCAGGTGAGGATTAAAAATATAAAATAAATAAAGTCTACAAATTCAGTGGCCTTCAGTATTTCATAACAGTCTATTTTAGAATATCTTCACACACCAACAAAAAAGTCTTGACCTGTCCCCATCAGCAGTCATTCCCCATCCCCTCCACCAGCCCCTGGCAATCACTAACCCACTTCCTGTGTTTCTGGATGTGCCTGTCCTGGACATTTCACACAAATGGAGTCACATTCTTTATGGCCTTTTGTGTGTGGCTTCTCTCACTGTGCATCATGATTTCAAGTTTCATCCACATTGTAGCAAATGACAGTGCTTCATTCTTTATTGTTTTAATTTATTGCTTTGAAAGAGAGAAACATTGGTTTGTTGTTCCACTTATTTGTACATTTATTGGTCGCCCCTGATATGTGTCCTGACTGGAGATTGAACCCAAAACCTTGGTGTTTCAGGGACAGTGCGCTAACCAACTGAGCTACCTGGCCAGGGCCTTTTCTCTTTATTTTTTTAGTTTTGTGAGTTTATTTGAGCCAAACTAATAACATATGCTGGGAAACAAGATCTCAAATGCTCCCGCTTCACTCCTTTTTGTGGTCACATAACGTTCCCCAGTATGGATGGACCACGTCTTGTGTATCAGTTCATGAATTGATGGACAAACACTTGGGTTATTTCCATTTGGGGACTATTATGAATTATGCTTTTAAGAACATTTATGTACAGGTTTTTGTTAACATATGTTCCCTCTAGACACCTAAGAGTGGCATTGCTGGTTCCATGGTCACTAGGAGTTAAACCTTTTGAGGAACCGCTGCTGTTGTTTCCCCCGGAGGCTCCCCCATTTTCAGTTCCCACTCGCCGTGCGTGAGGGTTCCAGTTTCTCCACATCCTCACCAGCACTTGTTACTGTCTGTCTGTTGTTGTTTTTTTTTTTTGTGTGTGTGTGTGTGTGTGTGTGTGTGTGTGTGTGTGTTTAATCCTGACCCGAGGATATTTTTCCATTGATTTTTAGAGAGAGTGGAAGGGAAAGAGAGAGAAACATCAACATGAGTGAGACACACTGATTGGTTGCCTCCCACACACACCCCAATCAGAGCCGGGAATTGAGCCTGCAACCCAGATGCATGCCCCTGACCAGAATCAGACACCTGGCCAGAATCAAACCCTCAACCTTTTCAGTCCAAGGGCTGACACTCCATCCACTGAGGCAAACCTGCTAAGGTGATCTTTTTGTTTTGTTTTGTGTGTTTTTTTTGAGAGAGAGAGAGGAGAGAGAGAAACATCAATTTGTTGCTCCACCCATTTATGCATTCATTAGTTGTTTCTTGTATGTGCCTGACCAGGGATTGAACCCACAACCTTGGCATATCGGGACAACGTTCTCATCAACTGAGCTACCTGGCCAGGGCCTGTCTGACAAGAGGCATGGAGTAGCTGGGATGGGGTGCGTCTCAGTCATCTGGTTGAGATGTTACCGATGCTCAACACCTTCTTGTGTGCTTATTAGCCATGCGTGTACCTTCAGAAAAGTGTCTGTTCCCATCTTTGCCCACTTCCCTCAGAAACAGCCGGTACAATGTGTGAAGGCTGAAGCCATGCCACAGTCTTCTCTAAAGGCATACTGGCACGTATCTACTTATTTTTCCCTTCCGTTGCAGAGGTGGACGTGACTGGACGGAGCACAGTCAGAGGCTAGAGGAGCACCAGGAGCGTGCCTGGCCAGGCATGGTAGAGGCAGGCACGGCAGGCCGGGAGCATGCCAGGTGGCTAGGTATGGGCTAACTCCTATCCATGAGTGAGGGTGGGGGGCTCCCAGGAAGGGTTGTCCAGTTCCAGAATTCTCCACAGGCCAGCCTCCCCCCAGCTTTTCCAGAGACTTCCAAGAAGGGAGTGTTTGCAGACTCTTTCTTCTCTTCCAGGTGCTGAGAGGGGCCTCTCTGGGCCCTCAGGGACAGGGCACATGGCGAATCGGGGTGGAATGTCGGGGTAAGAAGTTTTGTCCCCGGATAAAATTGATTTGTTCCTGCTCCTCACTTCCTCTCCCTTTTTTGCATGTTTGATCAACTTGCTGGGTTGAATGTTTTGAAAACAAACCCCCAAAGCAGCTCTTGGTAACTAGTGCAAATAACACTCTCCAGGGCCCCGGAATGTGGTCTGTAATTAGGATGTTTCTCACCTGGAAAAAGCCACGCGGGCTCTGAAGGCTGCAAAGCTGTATGCCGCCATGTAATGGTGAAAATGTAAAGCACTTCAAGGGGACAAACGTGTGCCTTTGTTCCTAGGCAAGGCGGCTTTGCACAAGATGGGCATTCCCAGGGCCACGTGGTGCCTGGTGCAGAACTGGAAGATGGAGCACTGGCCGGCCAGGACCGGGGCAACAGAGTCCCACCCCCCCACCCCCATCCTTACCCCCACTTCACTCGCCGCTACTAAACCCCACTCCCTCCGCGTGTTCAGGTAGGCAGATGCACTGTTGAATTTCTTAGCCAGTTACCTTGAACTTGTGGAATCTTTTAAGAAACAAAAACAAATCCTGCCACCATGTTGTAGCTCGGTAATATGTGAACTCATTTTTTTTTTTAATAAGCGTGTTCTTGTTCTGCCATTTTTGAGAAGGTTTCTGTAATGAGGCATTCCATTTTTCATTAATAAAAGTTTACGGTTCGCATTTCAGTGTGTGTTGTGGTGATTACAGAGCAAAGAATAATACCGACCTTCAGCAGCACCATTGCACACTTGGGTGGTGGCTGCCAGCTCATCATACTTGAATTCTCCCAACCGTTGATAAAGTGGACATCATCTCCCCATCTGAGAAATAAGGAGCTAGGTGCAGGGGCTAGGTCACGTGCCCGAGGTCTTAGCGCTTGTAGGTGGCAGAGCTGGGATGGGAATTGGGAATTCTTCATTGAGGGGGGAGGGGTGTGTGCATTGTGGAGCCTCTGCCCAGTCACTTCACTCCTTGTGCCAGAGTGCCCGGGGCAGCGTCCAGTGATGGTGTGCGGTTTGGGGGCCTGGCTAAGGGATGGGCACATGTGTTGGCCCTGCAGTGCTTGGGAGCTGCCCTCGGCCCCCAGAGCACACTGGCTCTTTTAAAAGGGCTGCCTCTTCTCAGCATGGGCTCAGTGTGCCCGATTCCATCATTTTTCTGGAAGTGCAAATTTACATGTGAAGTCTCCTCATTTGTGATAGAGTTGATTCCGGTTTTTTTCATTGAAGACTTACAGAACAAGCACCTCTGCCCAGCCAGTGCCACATCACAAGTCCAAGCAGGCCCCTCCAGGGTGACACCACAGTGAGGTGCTTCTCTGCTAGAAGAGCAGTGGCACAGGCAGAACCGCCACAGAGAGTGGGTGACTGCAGGCATGTTGGGGCAGAAAAGCCCTATCCGTCATCTCATTAGTAGAGGTCTGGTGGCCGCAAGGCTGGGGCAGGAGGGAGGGCTCGCTTCCCACCATTCCTGGCCCTGGTCCAGTGTGGTAAGAGTTAATCCACTGTGCTGCCTGCTGGGAACCTCAATTCCCTCCCCTTGGTAACTGGGACAGCCACCCCACAGGCCCCAAACAATTGCCAATTCTCCCTGAATACCCTGTGTTCCTGCTGGGCTGTTTAGTTTTAAAAGAGCAATCTGAAAATCCTCCCCAGCATCAAAGGCAGGCAGTGCTGGCCCCTCCGTGTCCTATCTGTTTGAATTGCTGCAAATAAACACTTTGTGAGCTTCCCCCACCACACGGGTTCGTAGAGTCATTTTCCAATGACAGGTTGACAGGACATCGGCCCCATGTTGTGGACGGGGGATGACATGGCATATTGCCTCCTCCACAGAAGTCTGTCTCTGCAAGGTTTAGTCTAGAAATTGGTATCTGGGCTTTCTGTTTGGGGCCCAGAAAGCCAGACTTAGCCTGGGGTAGTGGGTGAGACCAGTTTTTAGCTGTTGTTATGTAGATGTAATGGAACAATTACTCCAGCAGGCAGAGTTGCAACCTGAAGTGCCACCAGGACGCTCAGCTGGGGCACAGCCACCAAGCTGCTTGAGGAAGCCTTGGAGACAGTGCAGGCTATTCCCCCTGGACAGCCCCTTCCTAGTTAGCTGGGCCTTTTTTTGTGAATCTCACTGAAGGTATTTTTTTTCATTGATTTTTAGCGTAGAAGGGAAGGAGAGAGAGAGAGAGAAACATGGATGTGAGAGACACATCGATTGGTTGCCTCCTGCATGTGCCTCAACCAAGGCCTAGGATTGAACCTGCAACCCAGGTACGTGCCCTTCACCAGGAATCTAATCCTTGACCCTTGCGTGCACAGGCTGACACTCTAATCCATGTCACTGATCCATGCCAGCGAGGGCCCAGCTCTGTTTTATATAGAGACACAAAATACATTAGTTTGCTAGTGCTGCCGCAACACAGTATTTCAAACCATGTGGTTTGCAACAAATTTATTCTCTCCCAGGTATGGAGGCTAGAAGTTCAAGATCAAGGTGTTGGCAGAGCTAATTCCTCCTGGGGCCGTGAAGGAGAATCTGTTAGAGGTCTCTCTCCTTGTTTCTGGTGGTCGTTGGGCAATCTTTGGTGTTCTTGCCTTGTGGAAGCATCACCCCATCTCTGCCTCCTTTACCCAGCCTCCCTGTGTGTTTGCATCCAAATGTCCCCTTTTTATAAGGACACAGTCTTACTGGATTAGGGTCACCCTAATGACATGTTACCTGTGTAAAGGCCTTATCTCCAAATGGGGTCACATTCTGAGGTCCTGGGGGCCAGGACTTCATATGGCTTTTCCCAGGGGTGCAACTTCTGGGTAAATTAGGAGAATTGCTTATTGTTCAGTACAGAACCTTACCAAGAGTTGCTCACCATTTCTGTGAGCAGAGCTGCTGGGGTCTCTGCCTCCCTGC